AGGATGTTGCTGAAAACCAGGTCCTGGCTTTCGTCAAGCAAATGAAGATGGAGCTCGAAGTACGAAGCCCTCGAGGTGGCCGGGTCAAATGGGTTTATGAGATGGAAGATGAAGAGGAGGATGTTGCGGAGGGTATGCTTTTGGTCGAGTTGGAGCCCGACAGTGGCAAAGTGGAAGTCCGGGGGAAGTTATAATTGTACGCTATATAACTAACTAAACCGGCTTCAAGTATAGGATGGCATTGAAGCCCTCTACAGATCAAATTCGCGAGTTCCGTATATTACCAGCGAATCAGCTTGCAGATCCACTTGGTTTCACAGCATCATTGGTCTAGTGGTAGAATTCGTCGTTGCCATCGACGAGGCCCGTGTTCGATTCACGGATGATGCACAAGAATTTCTTTTTTGGTCTTTTTGTCTGATGCTCTAGATTCATTTGATCATTAAACAGTTAACAGAATTGGGGGTTTTTTTTAGCCCGTACCCGCATAGGATCGATCCATGGATGGTTTTCTCTGACAAATTCCAGTTGTGTGTTTACTTTTTACAATTCGAGGCAAGCGGTCAAGAAAAAGCGGTCACTCACCAGGTGACGTCACCGTCTCAGCTTCCCCATCATCTGCTTTACCCTCTCCTCTGCCTTGACCCAGTGTGGTTTTTTTTTTTTTTTCAGTATGGACGCCCTCGATGTTTACGTGCTGACGTTTAACTGTGCAAGGAACTTGGCCGATGTCGATGCCTTCGCGAATCATTTCTTCGACGCACTCCCCGCGTCTGGTGCGGGGAGCTCCGCACCCGACCTAATCTTCCTTTCGCTACAAGAGATCGCACCCATCGCCTACTCGTTCCTCGGAGGATCCTACCTTTTACCTTACTTCGATGCATTCCGCCGTGCGGTCCAGAAAGCCTCGGCACAAAAATGGGACCAGCACTATGTGAACTTCCTCAGCGACAATACGGGAATGACGGGCCTGATGCTTTTCGCGCGTGATGACACACTGGGCAAGATCGCCTGGTACGACACAGCACATGTCGGTCTTGGAGTTCATGAAATGGGAAATAAGGGCGCCGTCGGGGCACGCCTGGGATACGTTGTTGAGGGACAGCCATCCAAGACTGTGGACCTCACTTTCGTCGCAGCGCATCTCGCCCCCATGGAGGATTCCTATGAGCAAAGGAACATGGACTGGAAGAGCATTGTCGAGCGTCTTGTTTTCACGCACGACAGCAATAGACCAGCAGTGAGGTCAAGCATGGACGAAAACACCAGCCTTCTTCACGATGCTGCATCGGCGCATGCGGAGGGTAGTCGCAGAGATCTTTTCGCGCCAAACGCCTACCTATTCCTTGCCGGAGACCTGAACTATCGCACATCGAATGTCGGACCCTCGATTCGGGAAATTGAACAATTCCCTCGACGCAATGTCAACCTTGATAACCCGTCGCACTATTCCCACCTTCTGAAGAACGACCAGCTCGTGCGCGAAATGAGTTGTGGCAGGACTTTCCACAGCCTATCCGAGGCGCCGATCGATTTCCCTCCCACGTACAAATACTCGGATGCCGCGCGCGAAGCTGTCCGCATCGGCTTGGACACTGATGATCATGAATGGAAATGGTCGAATCACCGCTGGCCCAGTTGGTGCGATCGAGTTCTTTTCCTCGATAAGCCGTGGGCTGGTGAAGCTGGAAAGGTCAAAACGCTCGCTTACAATGCACTGCCTCTCTTCGCACAGTCAGATCATCGTCCCGTTGCGCTCGTTGCATCGGTGCCGCTGCGGGCCTCTGACGCATCTTCAAACACTGAGAACATCCGAGCTGTGGCTCCATTCTCTATCGATCCGAGTTGGAAATCCAAGCGAGACATGGCGCGACGAAAAGAACTTCTCGTGGGTGCAGTTGCGTATCTGGGACTGACCAGGGAAGGAAATGGACTGCTGTTCGCGTCGCTGTTAGGTATCATCGGGGCGTGGTTCATTCTTCGGTCTTTGCTGGAGGTTTGAGTGACGGTGTGGTGAACGGCGCTCGGAGACTGGCTTTTTCCTTTCTTTTTTTTATCTCCCGATTTATGTTGTTGTCTGTTGGGTGTTTTCGGAAGAATATCATGCAATGCTGCCAGTCGCCAGACCCGGCACTGGATGAAACATCTCAGCTATGTCCCTTGTGCTCTGCATACCTCGGTAGTCTCAGGTTTCCAGGTTGGTAGTGAGGTTGCATTGTCAGCAGCCTCAATCGAATGTCCTGTGACGGCGGAACTCCCCGCATTTCTCCAATGGGTGCCTGTCCATCAGATAACTCAATGGTCCGACTTACCGGCTGTAGTCCCAATTATGTACAATCAGACAATGCGGTAGATGATTTCTCAGCAACAGCCTAAACTAGGCAGTACTCTTTCTGGGCCAGTACTCTTTCTGGGCCAAGTCACATGAACCGAGCTGATCCGATACGGTATGCATTCTGCAGGTGAGAAAGATGGCGTTGAGGGCTGAGGGGCTTTCTCAGATGAGGTTATATTCGGCTCTTGCATTTCTCCCTCCGATTATCGGTCCTTCTGCGAAAGGTTCCCATGACTGTGATGACTGGACTGAGACTGTGGACTGCAGAGCTCTGCAGGTCTCTCGGGTATCTCTAATACTGTCGATGTCATTGCTGTCATAGTAAGGTTTTCATTCTTCAGTCTCCTCCACTTCTTTGGTTACACCAGGTTATTTTTATTTTTTTTTATTTTTTTTGGCTGTGAAGGTCCAGATGCCGAGGTAAATCTTCGATTGTCTTCTAGACTCCCAAATGTTTCTGTTCCTTGAACTATATGGTCCACTATTCTTTCAGACATCCATGGATGGAGCTGCAACTGTTCTAAAAATACAAAGGTCTGTTATTACCAAGTAGTTATGTACTATAACCAACTATACACTGAAGCTCTTCTATAATATACTATACTATATTATAATATAACTACATCTATAGTAATTGGATAGTATGATAGTATTGTAGCATCAACCACTAACAAACGTGCGATAACGCATGGAACAGGCCACATGAACCGGTCAAGTGACCAGCAGAGAGCTTAATTTCCTGATTCTCCAAATTTTAAAAAGCCCAAGGGCACACGTCTAACCTTCACCGCGTGTACGACATTACGAAAGCATTGCCAAGGACGGGAAAAAATGTGCTGAGGTTTCATATGAGGCGGTGTGTGGTCGAAACGTGTATAGAGAGAGAGATCTAGACAACCGGATTTCTGGAATGCACAGCACTGGAGCTGACAGTAAGCCCTGCATTTTGGTATCGCATTTTCTTACTTTGGAATGTTTCTGGCTGGGTTTTAAAACAAAAACAAAAAACAAAAAAAACGAAGAAAAGAAAGAAAAAAAACGCCCGGGCTGTGGATCCACAGCCTCTCTCTCCACAGGGATGAAAGGGAGAAAACCATACAAAATGTAGGATCAAGTCAAAGGGCTATTGAATTGGATTGTTTTTTAGTGAAGTTTCTATGACTCAAATATTGGATTGTTATTGGTTTATACTGATATATATAAGATAACGATCATCTGAGGATAGAGTAGAAGAATAAGGGGGTTGGATATACAGTGCTATTAATCACACCAAAATGAACACAATATGTCATTGACAGGGCTGATCAGGAGAAAGTGGACAACACGGAAGGATCGGAATGTTCTGTGCGAAGTTGCAAACAAAACTGAAAGAAAAAAAAAATTGAGGAATGCCCTGAGTTCGGTGGAGATTTTTCTAGAACAAAATAAACCAGAACTACTCCATATGGAGGCCCAAGAGCCCAAAGACCCATATGCCTTTGGGAATCGAGGGGGCTTCAATGTGAAACTCATTTAATCTGTATGGAATATTAAAAGAGCAAAAATAGAAGTAAAACAGGTAATCATCTCCATATATGTAACCTCAATATATGAAGCTTGTATACAATCTACGTTAGTTACCTACTCTCATGTGTTCATGAAGCTTAACGGTTTTGGTTTGCATTAGGCGGTTTGCATTAGGCGGTTGTTTCGAAATCAGCCCTTCTCAGCTACTCCACTTGTCCCTGCAATATACCTATGAGACTGCAAGTCATTCTGCGATCCTGACGATGCATTGTACTGTTTTTGTTTTTGTTTTTTTGTTTTTTTGTTTTTTTTTTGTTTTTGTTTTGTTTTTTCATATAAGGCGAATTCTTTATTGGCCCTCTTTATGCACCAAAGACCAGCATTTAAGCCGATCAACCCGCATATTCGGGTCAAGATCGACCGATCGCTGCAGTATTAGAATCTGAGGAGGACATATAACTATGTAGTAAGTTGTATACAATATAGCTCTATAACAATTATAATTCATATTAAAGATAAAGAACATTAGAAGAAACCCGGCAAGCATCGCCAAGTGTACCCAATACTATCCAGTGTTCTATCAAGAAATAATCCAAAAATAACCAGTTCAGCCAGGTTAGAGAGAGATTAAAGAAAATAATATACATAATCTACTCTGTAAAATGGTAAAATATAAAACATAAAGAATATAATATAATATAATACATAAAATAATTTAAATAATAAAACTAAATAATAATAATAAAATAATAAAATAAAATAAAATAAAACAACCCCAGCAAACGGCCGTAAATAATAATGGAACCCTAAAAATTCTAATCCTCCTATTTCACTTGGAATTGTATTTGTTAGATTGTTTTACGTGTCTAAGCCATCTTTTTGAGCCTCTAATATAAACCCCGTCCATCTTCCCTAGATCTCTTCTCTTTCTTCAACATTCTTCTAGCCTTAAACCTTGTGGCTGAATTTCTACGCCTTGATCCTCCGACGTCATCGTGTTGTACAACACATTCTAGGCCTTGATCCTTATTCTCCGTTACATTTAATCTTGAAGTCTCTAGTCTACTTCTTTTTTTCTTCTTTCTTTTCTTCTCCTATCAACTCTTTGAGAAGAGTCGCCAACTCAGCTCTCTTTGTCGATCCACGTCTGATCCAACCAACCCCGGTCAATATCTACCATGTATTCCTGTGCAAATTATCCTCGTGGGTGCCGAGGCCGTGTCAACCGACAAGGAGCAAAGTGCTCTGACTGCGTTGTATGTGATGATCCCTAAATCTATATCTTTGGATCTGCCTATACAAAAAGAAGGATCATTCCAAAGAAATTATACAAGAAAAAAAAATTAACATCTTTCACAGTCTCTAAACTTGCGCCGTCCGGCTTTCACTTCGCCATTTGCCCAACCACGCGATTACAGGCGTGCGCTACCTTCAGAGCTCTTCGGCGACCTTTCATCTAAAGCATCTGAGCCTCAGCTGTAATGAACGCAAAGCCCATACATCCTGGGACGGTCCGGAGAATGACCCAGCTCCTCGCTAGGTTGCATCCTGCCGGCTAGGATTCACCTCGCATGATCTACGGCCGCTTCCTTTGTTCATTCTTATTCGCCTTTTCCCCTCTCTATCTCTCTCCCAACATCTCTGATATGCATCGCTGGGAGTTTCTTTGTTATATATGCAGCGGCCGCCTGCCATTTGCTTTGATGCCTAATTTCCTGGTTTTTTTTCATCCTACGTCACCTCTTTGATCTCGTCTATCTACATTGGCCGGTCTAATGGGCGAGCTTCCACGAATCTCCTTTCGGAATCTGGGAATCTTGGCATGGACTTCGCGAACATTTCCCTTTTCACTCGCTTGGGTTTGTTTCTAGGACAAAGAACGGCCCGCATATTTCTTGTTTTGCATGGAGGATAGATCGCTTTTTTTTTTTTTTTTTTTTTTTTGCATGGATACCTATGGACATGGATCTGCCACTGGAGGGCAGTGGCGCTGATGGATCGGGTTCTTTCAGCTCTTCGGTTGATCGTTGATTGACCCCTTCTTTTCCTTACGCATACGTGTGCTTTGATATTCCTGGTTTTGGTTTTGGTTTTGGTTTTTTATGCCCTATTTTATGTTCTCTTTTAACTGATGTTGACTCTTTTCTTTGTGAACGGTGACGCCATACCCCTCTGTTTTACTTGCGCTTCCTACCATATGACCATTCCCCCTAGTGCTAGTGCTATATACTTATTTACAGCATTCATACTGTTATGTCTCCACCTTCTACCATCTCGACTATCCCGCTTGAACAATCTAGACTTAAATCGAGAACACTCAGCCCTCTCGGCAACATTCTCAATCCATCATCAAAACCCGACATCCACTTCCTACCCAACACTTACAGTAGCGCATTCAGGTCCAGAAGGATATACGCTCAGGCGCAGTGCCGCGGGGCTGTGACGTTTCGGCCCCAAACCCCCCTCTCTCTGTAACCGTCGTGGGGGCCCGGCACCCGGCTAATCCTCTTCGCTAACATTTTCAGCCGCAATAACTCCCGTATCCCACATTAGAACAGATATCCGAGCCCTGACAGACCAGAAGAAAAAAAGATATTCGAAATTACCCCAAGTTTAGAAATACTACTGTGCACATACCCTGTCCATCTCTCAGGTCAACACCCAACCCCAACAAACTCGCCCGGAATATATGTCTTCATCCTTCATCAGCCCTCAGCCCATCCACCTCCGTCATGTCGCATCACACCCCGACTCCGCTGCACAATGCCGAACCAACCGAAAACAACCCCTGTAGCTACATCCCCGTCAGCATCTAGACCTTGCCAGACCCAAATCTCCAGATCTGCGCCTTGCTATAGATGCGCGGGTGGCATGCTCTTACTCTTTCGCCTGGTGAATAGCCCGGCTGGGAGGGGGGAGAGGGGGCTATGTTGCACGCGGGTTACGGGTTACGGGTTAGGCAGTAATGTAATGATGGCATTTGTGCGAGGCTTGGTACCACCTTCGCCGTCGATCGGGTTTTGTTGATAGCTCATGTCATGCAGGGGTCATCCCTGTCTCTTTCTTGGTGGGCGCATACACACATAACATACAACATATAATGCAATAAGGCTCTGGTTGTGTTGGATTGACGCCGTTATGGCTTGATATGATTACTTGGTCGGAGTGTTGGGGGCTTTTTTTTTTGGCGCAGGTTGTGTAGGTCATGTGGTGTCCTCGGCTGTGTTTCAGGGAAATCTAGATTGAGCTGGGCCTGGCTTTTTTGGGAGAATTATTGCTTTTTACTATAATATACGATATACGATATAATGTATAGTTGATGTATGATGTATGATGTATATCTTCCAAGGTTTTTTTTTATTTTTATTTTTTTTATTTTATTTTTTTTACTGGGGATGTGGAGAGCCCATGTCACACCTTGCTGACTCCACGGAACAGAAAAGGGGGCGCTTACTCCGAATAATAATGTACTAATATGTACAATATAGGAGAATACCAAGGAGAAAGAACTATGTCGATCGCTTGTCTCAGAGATAGATAGATCCACTTCTGTGTGTTTTGTCCACAGCTGAAACTATTGTTTATATTGTCTATATTATTGTAAGCTAGACATTTCCCCTCGAAGGCTACGGCCCGCCAACTAAATACCATAAATGAACATGGAATCAGGGGTGGCCAAGGAAAAAAGAGACTCAAAAAGAAGAACACAAGAAAAAAAGAGAAATATAAACCCACATTCCACAGTCTCCATCTGAATGTAAAACAAATCCCAGTGAGATAGACTAACTAAAACACCTAGTGCTAAATCTGCTTCTAGTCTCTTCTACCAGGCTTCTATGCGGTTTCTCTTTTGGTTCTTTAGCGTCAAAATTCCAAGCCCCTTTTTTTTCTGTTTTGCTCGGTATTGGCGGTAATTTTCGACGCTCAGCCACATACCACAAACGGAAAATGTGTAGCGGATCGATCGTTGTTTCAGGAACTGTGGGGAATTTGGCACGTTCCATCTCCACGGGATGTCTGCTCTTAAGAATGTCCTAGCTCGTTTGGAATTTCTAAGATCTGTTGATCGCTGTGGGAAAAGATAATCGGTTAATCGGTGTGGCGTTGTCCCGTTGACACTTGGGTAGATCGGGGGATTAATATTCGTTGCTGCCTGTCCCGAGGCTTTGGTTGTTTTGTTGGGCATGTTGACTCACATCCCTGAACTGACTAGATTATGTATCTACCTAGAATAGAGTGAAAATTACGGAGTAGAAAGGATTATCTTGTTAATTAGTTACCTAGATTAATACTATATTAGTTTGTCTTTCGGACGTATGGAATACAGTAAACCCTTTTAATAACGATATATTGTAGATAGGCACAGGGAAAAATTTTCCGATATAACCACTTAATCATTAAATCAGAGTGCTATAACTAGTTATATGTTGTATGAGCAATTCAAGCACCCGATTCCGGTCGATATAACGGGTTACTGTATCCACCTTGGCTCGATTGGATATAGACAAGCTCACTGGTCTTTCACTTATCATCCTTGTTTTTCCTTCTAGACTTTTGAGGCCCAATCTATTTTGTGATGATAAGGTTTGGTTACATGCTGCAGGCTGGTTATAACACTACCGGATATCACGATAACCCGTACGGAGTATAACGATCGGAACCCGGTGGTTGAATTGCTCATATATCAATATATGTATAGCACTTTGGTCTAACGATTACCTAGTTATAACCATATTTTTCTTATGTCTACAATGTATCGTCACAAAAAGTGTTTACTATAATTTGCGTTGTTGCATGTGCCCGAATACGAGCCTCCATATCCACCGTGTCCTATAAGCGTCCCAAGACCCCTGTCCGATCCTCTAATCCCACAGAAGTGTCAAACAGTCAAACAGCCCGTCGTGGATACGTACCCGATCGGATCTACAAGGCATACGCCTCTTACCAATTGGCCGTTAGCTCCCGGTCTGGAACGCGCCATCGGATTGCCATCATAAGCGCGGGACGGTTGGGAACCTTGATAGTCGACTTGGCCGATGTTTCACCCCTAGTTAAAGTGCCGCTTTGGGACATAGATCCTTTAATCTCGGGTTTTAAGGTGGTCGGGCGCGTTGCGTGGACACCGGCACTTGGCGGAAGGAATTTGCGATAGATAGATTGCTTTTTTGCCGCATATGTTGGGACGTGTGGAATACAGTAAACCCTATTTATCACGATATACCATCATTGACACCAAAAAACACCGCTATAACCAGGTTATCGCTATATCCGGTATCTTTATAGTGGGGGTTTACTGTACGGAGTAGTCCGGTATTAGTAGTTGCCGTTTTGATATGTTATGCTTTCTTGGTGGATCATTGTTTGGAGCTTGTGGGTGGTGGTTACGGCCTATAGAGAGGCTCAAAATTTAATTCGTGGTCCAATGCGGCATTAGATGTTTCTAGTGCAATGCAACCATCTACAGATCCAAAATCTGCCGGCATACCCATTGTGCGGTCCTCGTGTGGAGTGTCCAATCTCGCTCGTCTTCCAAAGTTTCAGTGTCCGTTATCTCAGTATCATGTCCACCTGCGTTACAGGCCTCTCCGAGTGCCTCGAACACAACAATCTGATCTCTCATATAGCTATCTAGACACGATCTCTTGACGGTGGAATCAGGTTTCTGGTCTGGCTGGACTTTAGGACTCTCCTTTGAGATTTCCCTGGTGAATCCATCCACACATCGGCGGACTTGATCTGCTGCAGCAGAAAATGCTATCTCATTTTGTGAATCTCGTCGAGGGTCACGAGCTGGCTGTTGCTTTTGTTTCCTTTTGCTCTTTGACTTAGACAGACAATCACCCCCCATGCTGCCGAGAATGTCGTGGCCTATTCTGAATCCTGAGGATGTATGTGCAACAAGAAGGATGTACACATGGCTGCGGTGATTTGTAGCTTCCGATGTGTGTATTGTGATGGGAACTAGTGCGTTTTTGGCTGACAACTTGCTGAGCGAGTCCCCTTCGGATAGAGCTGAATTAGAACGTTTAGCAAATATAGACGGATCCAGCTTGCTAATTTCACGTTGAAGAGTACGTCGGGTTACTTGTTCAATAAACTGGCGAACAGTACTCCCCGTGCCTTCTTCTCCCTCGGCGTTTAGGGTGGGTTGATCAGGTGCTAGCACAGTGATATCAACTTGCGTGATTTTCCCACGTTTATGATCCATTAGATTAATCCGTGGGAAGCTGTGTAGAAGCTCAGCTGTCGATTCCTTTTCCGTCGACTCCTGAAGTTGATCTTCGCCATCCGTATCCTGTCGAGATCTGAGTGTATGTATGAGAAAGGTGACTGCTCCAAGATCAACCGGCCCTGTTGTCCAGCCGCGCTTATTAAGGACAATGGAAAGGGGAGGAAGACCAAGCTTGGCAAAATTGGGCACGATAACTTGCGATGCATAGTCATATGATGGAGAATGAGTAGCGTTGGTTCCACCAGTTATGTTTACTTTCACAAAGGGGGCAGCCGCCTGCGATCCAACATGAAGTAGATATGGGTAGAGTGCCTGGAAGACGAGAAAGATGGCACCGGCAGTCGTGAGCTTGATGTCATATTCGGATTTTACATTCACTTGCGACAAATTCAGGAGCGGTCCGCTTTTCGATCTTGTTGATTGTGGAAAGAAGTCCAAGGACTGGGAGCCAACCTCGCCTCCTGATACTTTGCTGTCGCTAATCTCAGCCAACAGCTTCACTGCTGCGGCATGAGATCTCTTAAGCCCCTTCTTTCCCTCTCTGTTTCCGCGAACATGATCAATGCTAACTGGACGACCAGTCAATGCAGACAGCCCGATGGCGATGCGGACCAGTTGCCCACCTCCTTCCAGAGTCCGGCCGTTCAAATGGACATGGTTTAATTTGGATGAAGTGGATCGCGAGGCCGCCATTTCAGACAATTCAGTTATCTTCGACAATGATATCTTGAAATCTTTCGAATATATGTGCGAAAAACCATCAATATATATCAATTTCGACTAGTCTCACCTGAGTCAGATCCAGAGGCTGCATCATCTTGGCGTGAGTCACCGCTAGTCGAGACCTTGGCCCCCATGGTGGTTCTTGGCACTTAGCGAAGGCTTAACTGTGGAAGAAAATCGAGATTCACCTGAAGTTGGTGAAATGGACGAAAGAAATGTAGAGGTGGCAGTTGCCATGAAGTTATTTCGCACCTTCCGTATTGACAATGGAGTAGGAGAGTACTTCCTTCCATCGAATATCTCGTTCGTAAATATTCCCTCTTCAAATCCCCCAAATCCCCCAAAATCCCTTCTTCTCTGAATTCCTCCTTGTTCCAATACTTCTGTAGTTATATACTCTGCAGACATTTTATAACATGTTTTCCTCTACATCCAATACACACAAACTAAGAAGGTCCATGTCCACCCGCTCAATACGAAAGCCGCGACGACCTACCCCAGAGATCCCCGATGTTGCCATGCACCATGCAACTGCTGCAGCTGCAGCTTCGCGTGCAATGCGCTCTAGTCAAAGCTCGTCCCAGGAGTCGAAAAGCTCATACGAACGACTAGGTGGTCCAGGAAACTTTGCCATTCCGCGGAGGCGTCCCGGATCGAGCCTTCGGAGCACCGATGATAGCTCGGTCAGTCAGGGCGACTTACCAAAAGTTCCAAAATCTCGTCGGTCCAAGGAAATATCCGCTCGAGCCTCTTGCTTCGATGACCCTGCTGCCCTTCCGCCAATTACAGAACTCGACGGACTTGATGGACGAGACAGCTCAGTGCCCTCTTCCTATCGCCGATTGCGCAAGGCCAAGTCAATGTTCTCAACCAGACAGCGAACTTCACAGACCCCATATGGAGTGCCTTCCCTTCCTTCCGGAGATCCCCTTGATCCCGAGCGCAGTCCTGGATTTCAGCTGCCGCGAACAATGAGACGATCCATGTCTTTTCTTCGAGGAAGTTATCAATCCACGCAAGTCAGTCCAACTGCTGAGGGGCATGATGCAGCTATTCAGCTTGCTCGCAGCCAATTTGCCCAATATCCCGACGGTGGAGATGTTCAGACTCGCCGGTCATCCTTCATGCGTCTGAGCAAGAAGGAGCACAGGCAATTTCGAAAATCGTTCCGGGTTACGAGTGAAGGTGTCGACACGGGGCGTTCTCACCGGTCCTTTTCACACTCCATCAAAAGCAAATTCAGGCGGGTGTTTGGGTTTTCCAAGTGCGTGGATCAAGAACCTACACCTCATGGTACTACGAATGGTGCTGAGGCACCTATGGTAACTCCAATTGGGAAAGGCAAGGAGGAGTGCTATCCACACAAACTCACAGCCACCGAAGATGGCATTGATTCCAACTATCTCCAGTCAATGCCCCAGTCCCCCAGCCGCGACAGTCTCTGCACTTCCACTTCGCGCGTCACCAGTTGGGCTGATTCAACCATGCCGAACACAGTTACAACCCGGAAACCAGAATATCGCCAATCTCTCTCTTTGGTCGGAGAGGACGGGGGTCTGGATCAGCAAATGCCACGAACGCCTGTAATGGATGATACCCAAAATCAATCTCCTTTGGGTGTGAGAGCAAACCCTCATCAAATTAGCCTTGTTGACAGTCAAGACTTATACACTGCGTTGATTAAAAAGATGGGCCACAATTCCCTGTCTGATCCTAACGAAGAGATGGTCTTTGGCAATGTGCCACAGCATCATGTGATTCCAGAGCGGACTAATTCGATCTACTCCCAACATGGCCGACACAGTATTCGCCATGTCCCAAGCCGAGAATCCTCGACCTCACATGGCTCATTCGCAACAGCGCGGGGTGGTGATCAATCCAGTCCACGCAAGTATCCGCCCCTAGCCAGGTCAATGCAAGTTTCTCGGGGCATGCCATCTCAGGTGAAAACTCAACATATGACTGCTGTTTCAGACAAGAGGTCGCTACAATCAGCATACGCTTTGGGCGAGGAATCGGATGAGGATAGTGGTAGCGTTATTTTTTCTGGCCATCGGGATATTGTTTCCCCCAGTGTCTATTCCCGGACCACCAGTGGCAATACCCCAACAGGAACTGACAATGCCAACATGGGCGTCCATGATGAACCAGGAACGGCGACCATCTTTACTCAACAGCGGACAACATACAGCTCACCCAAGCGTGCCAATCGGGCCTCGTCTCCCGCACCTCATGTAAACCCCAGTGTAGACTGGCAGCAATGGATGAGCTCGCAGATCGAAAGAATTGAGCAGGCAAGCCCCACAAGGGAACACATCAGGGAAGATGCACAGTACGAGGACGATGATGAGTACTTTACCAGCATAGCTCGACAAGCTCCTGTCGCTATCTCCGCTCCCGCTTCGGCAACTCTACAAGAGGTTCCAGACAGCCATAATATCACAGACCGCAAAGCTTCCGCCGAGAACAGAGTTCCGTCACAGAGCAATTTCTCCCGTCCGTTAATCCACGATTCCGGCATTCGAACCATCGTGCCATTACAGACAACCAAGTCGGAAAATAATGCGCAGGCTCACACTAACTCATTGGCCGTGGATACCGCTCCTAAGTCTGGTGGAAACGTCTCACCCAAGCCCGTCCCTGTTGCTTGCAATCAACAACCGTCGCCAATTCGACTGAGATCTGGAAACATGCAGCCACCAGAGTCCCCAACCCCCAAGGGAGTGCGAGCAAAACGATCCTGGACCAAAGAACAGCAGCGACGCTATTCAGCCAGGCGTGCTCCGGTCGCCCAAGACAGTAGGGTCAATTACTTCCGGTCCATGCGCACTCAACGAGACAACCGTGCAAACAATGAGAACGCGAGGCAGCAGGATGAGTACACTGACATGATTGAGAACTACCACCAAATCCAAGACCTTCATTCAACGATCTCTAGCAAGCGCATGGTGGATTTGTTTTTGGACAGTCGCCGTCGACAAATGGGTGAAGTCACAGACAACGATACAGCCACAGAGGCTTTTCTTTGAATTTTCCCTGAATTTGAGAAACCGACTCTTTTTGCTGTTGGGATACCTCGATGAATGTTCATTTTTCACTGTGTCATATTCTTTTGGAGATCCTAACCATTCATTCGCTCATTCACTCATCCATCACTTTTTGAACATGTATACTAAAGCTCCGGATCGGAGTTAGGCAGTTTGTTTACCTGATATGGAAGCAGCCATTGTTATCTTTTATTATTTCCACTTAATACGAAAAATCAAGGCCCATTCATTCGATATTCATCCAGTTTGAAGGATTAAAATAGGTATGGAAAATAAAACAAAATAAATTCAAATGCAAAAAGAAATCTCTCCCTCGGGGAATCGAACCCCGGTCTCCCGCGCTTATCGGTGTTAATGACAAGCGGAAATCATCACCACTAGACCAAGGAAGATGTGATGGTCGAGTTTACTGCTCGGCCACTTGGCTGGTTGATAGGGAATATTACATATTCCGACTTTATGAGCAAGCCAGTAACCCCGAAAACAAAATAATTGTTGTGAATTCGATCAACAAATTATTCAGGAGACTGTTAAATTTCATTTTTAGTCCAATACGCCATATACCAAGTTTTTTATATCTAGGAGGGGGATATATTGTACAGGAAAGAACAAAATAACTAGTTAGTTAGAACAAAATAGAACATGAAGTTCGATATATATCTAGCAATTGCACTCCATACTACGGTTAGGAGTAATACCGCCATGAGGTACGACATACAATCGATTTGACCCCTATTTCACAATTAAACAGGAATCTATTAGCTCAAAATTTCTATATCTTTGTTCTAAGGTTGTGAGAATAGTTTGTTAATCCACTGATATCCACGCGTGGTATTAAGTGGGTGCGTGTAAGTGATCAGGCCATGTAGGGATTTCCCGTGTGGGTATTCACCGTGTGGGTATTCCCCGTATAGCCAACATGCCATGTAGGTATACCCCTTTGTAGGTATTGTCCACTTATAAGAGAAGAGAAATGGCCTTGTCTTTACACTGAACGAGTCCGAGGCACATAACACATTTATTCAAAAATGGATATTTTCCTGGATGTTCTGGATACATTGATCCTCGATCGGTGCTATGCATTACTATCGCCAGACCCAGCAGCAACTTTCAACAATGATACTCTATCAACTACAAATCTGAATCGCCATGTACGGGTTTATTACCCCATGCAGCCTTCAAAATGGGCAGAGGCAAGTCTTTGGAAGAGAGATGATATTGCTAGACAAGCATTGTCATTATACCTGATTACATGGTAAGTACATTCGCCCAAAGTAAAGTTATCCCGGACATTAATCCAGATCTCAATATACGCAACAGGCTTTTCGCAATGATCATGTACCTCCTCGGTAGTCTCCTACTATACCACACGCTATTTGACAAAAGGCTCCTCCAACACCCACGATTCCTCAAAAACCAGATCAAACTCGAAATCAACCAAGGCATCTCGGCGATTCCCGTAATGGCCCTCCTCACCGTCCCCTTTTTCCTAGCAGAGATTCGGGGCTGGTCAAAGTTATATGATTTCACCAGCGACTCTCCGTTCTTCGGATACACCTTACTGCAATATCCATTGTTTATCTGCTTCACAGACAGTGGCATTTACTGGATCCACCGTGCTCTACACCACCCGCAAATCTACCGCTGGCTCCATAAACCACACCATAAATGGGCAGTACCGACGCCGTTCGCGAGTTATGCGTTTCATCCATTGGATGGATGGTCGCAGAGTCTGCCCTACCATGTCTACCCGTTGATCTTTCCCTTGCAGAAAGGTGCATATCTGGGCCTGTTTGTCTTTGTTACTATCTGGACAGTGCTGATCCGTGAGTTGCTCTCTGATTGATACCCCATGCACCGATAGCATGATAGCTTACATTAGAGTCGTACAGATGACGCCGAGTACATGCCTGGATCGGCGATAATTAATGGCGCTTCTTGTCATACCATGCATCACTTGTATTTCAACTACAATTATGGGCAGTTTACAACGGCGTGGGATCGTCTCGGAGGAACGTACCGAAAACCCAAGGGTGATAGTTTCATGGATAGCGAGCAGAAACTTGGAGGTAAGTGTGATTGAGACGGAGATCTAAGGAGGGCGTGTTTTGTATCTAAATGTACTATAATAGGAGGCCGCTTATGCGGCCTCAGTTCTGGACGATGTCCTCTTTGGCTCAAGATGATATTAATCAAGAATAATAATACAATGTAGTACCAGGGGTTTTTAGTGCCCCCCCCGGACCCCCAGCCTCTGTTGCTGAGCGTTAGCTTAATCCTTGTCTTTTAAGGACCTACTTTAGCACGTACTTTAGCATATACTTTAGCATCTTGTTTAGCATCTTGTTTAGCATCTTGTTTAGCATCTTGTTTAGCATCTTGTTTAGCATCTTGTTTAGCATCTTGTTTAGCATCTTGTTTAGCATCTTGTTTAGCATCTGGTTTAACATCTGGTTTAGATATCACGTGACCTAGCTAGTTAGGTGCCCAAGGCTACCAAGACACTAAGAAATTCTGCCATCATAGGGTCAAGTGACATTAGAAAATTAAGATGTACACCGCCTTCAACTCAATTTTTTTGGGGCAAGACACCAAGAAGACCAACCCATGGGATTGGGTCAAAGAGAGGTGGAAACTGCAAGGGCACAAAAGCCATCCAGGGAGGCAGCCAGTGAGGACTAGAGCATCCAGGAGATAAAACACAGCAGAAAACAACCAGATACAAGACAGTGTAGACCGCGTCGTGACGAGTGACAAGTGAGAGAAATGTTAACCAGTAGAGGGTATATCATATACGTTTACTGAATAAAACTTCTTCTCCAAGCGCCCGGACAAGCCGAACATTTGATGAAAAAGGAGTTCGCGTCGATCGGGGTCAGTGTAAGCCCAATGACACTGTGCAACGAGGCATGCGCAAGCACAGGGGCCAAGTCGCGGGTTCTAAAAATAGGAATAATCAAAGTGTTTCCTGGACGGAAACTTTCAGAGATTAAACTGAAAAGAACAGATACTACACTTGATCTAAGCCAATAGGCAAAGAGAGCTGAAGAAGAAAGAAGAAGAAGAAGAAGATTTCAGGGGGAGGAAGGGGATATATATAGGCAAATATGGTCACATGACCTCACTACGCATCCCCTTGCCGGAAGATGCCAGTATTGTATACCGCCTTCTAGATCGGATGCCGGAAAATACCAGAATTGTATACCGCCTTCTAGATCGGAACCGGGAGATTCCAAAATTGTATACCGCCTTCCAGATCGGATGCCGGAAGATGCCGGAATTTTATACCGCCTTCTAGATCGGTCCATAATAGACCCAGGTCACGTGGCATGCGACCCACTTATGGCTCAACAATTTGATGTCATGTTTTTCTTTTTCTTCTTTCAGGTGTCATACCGAAGGAACAAACTCATTAACTAGCCACAAATTGCAACATACGTTCGGCGAAAAACGGATTTCCATGTAAAACATTGGACTATATTATATTTATATTCGGTATCTATGGGGCACTTTGATGACACCATTGAATGAATTCATTCAAATTCCCCAAGTCATCTGTAGCAGTGTTATCCATATACCGAAGGCTGACATCAGATTTACCAGTAGCATTCAGTGTGGCATTCAACAACCACCAAAGCTCCTGAGCGTGTTTCGGATATCCAAGGTGAAGGAATTGATCCTTATCCAGGAGACCAATAACAGAATCCCAGATGCGCCTCCAATTACCAGACGCACAGCGTATTCTATCGAGCGATAGATATCTTACTAAGCCGGCTCTTGCTTGGAATGCGAGCGAGTTAATGGCTGTCGTGATATTCTTAGCAATTTGATCAATTCGCTAGATTCGGTCATCAACATACCATAGATCAGAATCAGGAGATGCTCCACTGATACTGAAAGACCCCATGGTATTGGGTCTTTACTTGTAGGAGTTTCTAGTAACTGCGTGACCACATCTTTCAGGGGAGGAAGTGGGAGCTCTGTTGAGTGCGACATGGCAATTCTGCTGAATGAAGAGGCGTTTTCGGCTTCCCATAACCCGGCACTCCAAGGGAAATGACAGTCCATTTCAAACACCGATATTGATGGGTTGTTTTTGAAGCAGACCGTGAGGAATCCATCCGCCAGGAAGACCCAACAAGCGATTCTTGGAGTTTGTTAGCGACGCACCTCGAAAGAAAAGAGAATATAATAAAGAAAGGGATATAAATTACCGTATACACACTTCCTCTGCCACTAAATTTCTCCAAGTTCTATCATCACAAACGGTGGGAGCGGTTCCTCGCTTGACCTGGAAAATCCCCAGGGATCGGATGGTTGATACCAGACATGGATGTCGGACGATGCGAATGCGACGTCGTGTTTGCATATTGTCTTGTCCAAATTGAAGCATCTCAATAATAAGAGCACTCTGTAGTAGCTGTACAGTTGATAATAGGTGGGACGGATCTTTCAGTGAAGCGCGTGTTGATAGGTCAGCAATCTTTCGAAATATATACTCCTCCGCGACATCGAAGAGACCGGATGGCAGGGCTCCTCCATCTAATGGAATCGTATATGTGGCACCCGATAAAAATATTGAGAGTAAAAGAGAATTGGAGATGTTTCCTGGGTCGAATGTTGGAAAATGCACTACGGGTAAATGCCAGTGAAGAGAATGGAAGAACGCAGAGATAGAAGCCGAAATATTGGAAACTCCCAACAAAGTAGAAAGTTCCATAAAATCAAGAGCATTTAGCGTTCCTGTGCTTCCCAGACCCATTGACTTTGAAGTGTCGACCAATTCCGTCATAATCTCGGATAGTTGGCTGGAAAGCTTTGAAGGGAAGAGCGTATCAGGGGTGAACTGAAGTAGATAATCATCTGTAAATGAGGGCAGAGTCGAAGGTATTTGGAAAGGGAAATTTGTGAGTTGGAAGTCGCCACCAAAAGTCGAAATAGGATCAGTGGGAACGAGGGCATCTTCAATATGGGAATTGAGTGTTTCAAGGTTCCTTCGTACAGAACACTTCGCCGTCTCCCCGATCGCCAGCCTGTCCTTTTGGAAAGATGGATTGGCAAAATGTCGGAGAAAAGAAAATGATCCGCTGTCTGTCGGGGTGACTCGGGATGTGGTTATAGAAGGCGAGACCGAGGCTACCGCAGAGCAACTGGAATCTCGGGAAGGCGTCTCTTGGCCCACGAAAGTGCATTGTCGTCCAAGAGAGCGACAGCGAGAGCATGGTAGATTCCTGTCGCAGGATGCTTTGGCAAAGAAACATAGCTCACACGACTGCCTTTTCCTGCCTGGTTTGGCTGCAGGAGGTGGAGGTTGGTTGAACTTTTTTGCACAGGTTTTGATATGTCTTCGAGTAACCTCACTTTCGAAACATCAGTGATGTGTTCATTATTTATGGTAAGGGTACTTTGCATACGGCTTTAGAAATGATTTGCTGCACAAAGGGCAGCTGGAAGAGAGCTGCTGTGTATCTAGGAGGTGGTCAGCTTATTCATATTTTTTGATCGGGGTCATTCGACCTTACGAGTCGCTTCATGGCGAATTAAATGAGTTTTCCTTTGGTAAGCCTTTTCGCATAGTGTACATTGGAACATGGTATCCCAAACAACCCTTGTTGTCTCAATAGTTGAGGGAGAAAAAGAAAGGAAAGGGGGAGTTGGCAGCTACGGGAGTCAGCGCGTGGAAGAATTCCATCCGTGCGTGGCCGTATCTTTCCAAAATTGGCAGATTAATTCTAATCAACAGGCTATTTTATTATTGTCTTAGATGATAATGTTAGATAGGAACAGAAGGAGAACAATGACTACGGAGTATATCGTACGGAATATATCGATCGGAATTTGTCATTTATGCGGGCAATGCAGGTCCGAGTACGGAGTACTCCAGGGTATGGAGTACAGCCGCCCTAATGCCTCAATATACAAACACAAATGGGGCCGGCTTTACGGAGGAGACCATGCCATGCTATGTAGAGTCTGCAAGGGTAGTATGATACACCGCACTAACAATGCTCCATACGAGTTGCTAATAAAACGCTTTTCCTGGCGGGCTGGGCCACTGGAGAAAGATTGCTGATCTTGTATTCATGATCAACAGTTCGAACGTGGGAGTATCTTTAGTTCTCATGTTTGATACCTACAACATTTGCAATGGTATTTGAAAAGTTGCGAACAACCATAAAGACCAGATGCTCGGAACAGGGGTTCCTCGAGCGCTAGTTCCCGGTTCCTAGCTGATTTCCCAACGTTAATGAAAGCAAGAGTAAGCTGAAAATTTGAGACCAATTTAAGCGACTGGAGACAAATTAACGGAACTTTCCGAACCCCTGGCGTGCACGGAACCTGTGTGCATGGAATTCGATCATTAGTGGAGCTATGCAAAATCATGAAATTTTAAGGTATCATATCGACTAGTCAAGAAAAGCCTGTTTCGCTCGAGGACACGATCATAATGATCGATCTGTACATATACTGGGGATTTTTGTGTAGATCTTTGTGCTTGAGGAAATACACAACGGACTTATGAAGACTCCGGGACAAAGCCGAGACTCACAGGGGAATCATGCACGCCAGGCCGTAGATCACACTCTCCACATACGGAAACAGACATTGTGGGTCTCAGAAGATCGGAAAAGGATCGAAAAGGCGGTGGAGTTCGCATCTCTAGCGCAGCCAAGGTCAAGCCCCATCCCCAAGGGCTAATGAACCATGAGGTAGTGCGGAATTTAGATCCTAAATTTCAATGCTGATGCAATACTTCGGTGTCCGAGGATGCGATGCAGTGTTAATAAGGAGGGAGTACAGATTATTTTTTTTGCTTTGGAAAGAAAAGAAAGAGAAAAAAAGAGCGAACAGGACTTGATTGGCTTCAAGTTAGTTTAGAGATGCGGAGTACCTGACTAGAGACCCTTGCACTCCGAGAGCCGGGGTTCTGCATTAAGTAGGAGGCGCATGATGATCGATCTATTGGTATATTACGGGAGACTCGAATTTAATGAACTAGACATTTTGGTCCAATTTAGGATTATTCGGCTTATTTCGCCGAATAGCCCTATTTCGGAACCCATACCTTACTTGGAGTAGCCCCTGAACTGAGATATCACGAGCACAAAGAACTGCTTGAGATACGTTGTGCATATGGGCTGGTGTGGCGGGACTAGTTCGGGCTAGGCCCCCGGGAAGCAATCAAATAAGACGCTAATTGCATGAGCGGCCAGGGAGTAAAGTGACAGGTCGAGTATAAGGTCTCAATATCAGGTTAGCTTCATTGACCACCTTGTCAAATTTGAGCAAAATGAGGTGCAGGCGACCAATCAGAAAGTTATCGACGAGCAAAACAGGCTGGTCTGGTCTTGGGCTTCCTACTTGGCGTTCGTTTGTGCGCTAGGCAATGGATTGTGATGTAGATCGACATCTCCCCTATTTTTAAAATTGCTATAATGACTGCCTGATAGGTTGTCACATATAAGGCTGTCTGTCTCTCTCATTTATTCCTGTTCTTCATCTCTTCGTTGTTGGATTTTTTGACCTATCACTCGTTTTTGCTGGTATCGTTCAGCGTCCATTCTTTATTTTACTCTGAATATACTTCCAACCCGCAACGATGAAGCAATCTATACTTACTTCCCTTGTAGCTCTCGCAGCATCATGCTCGGTAAGCAAGAACCCGCAGCTCTTCGCCGTTGTAACTAGACGTGCAGCTAATAGATTATGTTATTGTATAGGGAGTCCAAGCTGCTGATGGCTTGGTCAACGTGCCAGTTAACCTTTGCGCAGCCATCCTCGGAAAGGCTGAATGCGAGCAGAAGACAGCCACCGTCGATGGCTTGATCAGCGTTCCTGTCAATGCGTGTGTTGCAGTCCTTGGAAAAGCTACGTGCGAGCAGGTTTCCTTGTCTTCCAGGAGCCTCGGCGGTGGCCTGATCAACGTTCCCGTCAATCTTTGCGGAGCTATTCTTGGAGAGGCCGAATGCAAGCAGAAAGCAACCACCGGCAATGGTTTAGTCAACGTGCCCGTTAACGCGTGTGCTGCGGTTCTCGGAAAAGCCAAGTGTGACCAGGTCGCTTCCACCGGCAGCAGTGACGGCGACGGTGGCCTGATCAACGTCCCCGTTAATGTTTGCGCAGCCATCCTGGGAGAGGCTGAATGCAAGCAGAAGGCAACTACCGCGGATGGGTTGGTCAATGTGCCGGTTAACGCATGTGCTGCAGTCCTTGGAAAGGCTAAATGCGATCAGGTCGCTTCCACTGGTAGCCACAGTGGCAGCGATAGCGGCAGCAGCAGTGACCACGGCAGCCTGATTAATGTGCCCGTTGGACTGTGCGCAGCTATCCTTGGGGAGGCCGAGTGCAAGCAGAAGACAGCCACCAGCGGTGGCTTGATCAACGTCCCTGTCAACTCATGTCTGGCTGTCCTTGGAAAAGCCAAGTGTGACCAGGCCTCTTCCTCTTCCGGTGGCGGCGAGGGTGCCCTCATTAACGTGCCGATCAACGTCTGCCTCGCTGTCCTCGGTGAGGCTCACTGCCATCAGAGCTCCGGATCCAATGGTGGTCTGGTTAACATCCCCATCAACCTGTGCTTAGCCGTTTTGGGTGAGGTTGATTGCCATGATACGCCCCCCACGGTCCCGGTTGTGCCCGGTGAGACTACCACCCCTGTTGTCGTTGTGCCGGGTCAGACTACCACCCCTGTTGTCGTTGTGCCGGGTCAGACTACCACACCTGCTGTCGTTGTGCCCGGTGAGACCACCACCCCTGTTGTCGTTGTGCCGGGTCAGACTACCACACCTGCTGTCGTTGTGCCCGGTGAGACCACCCCTGTTGTCGTTGTGCCGGGTCAGACTACCACACCTGCTGTCGTTGTGCCCGGTGAGACCACCACCCCCGCCGTCGTTGTGCCTGGCAAGACCACCATTCCCGGTGTTGTATCCGGCGAGTCTTCCATCCCCGCCTGGACTGGCCCTGCGGGACCTGCCTCTGTACCCTCTTACGGCGGTGCCTCTGCTTCGGTTCCTACATACACCCATGTTCCTTCCGTCACCGTGGGACGCTCATCCCCCACTGGCGCCTGGACCCGTGTCACCCCCACCTTCACCAGTGCCGTCACTGTCTGCAACGCTGCCTGCCAAGCATCCAAGGCTTCTACCGGCCTTGTTGCTCAGACTTCCCCTACTTCGGGTGGCAGCGGCAACAAGCCTAACGCTACCCCCAGCCCCAGCATTATTCCCTTTAACGCTGCTGGCCGGGCTACTTTGTCCGGTGTTGCCGTGGTGTTCGGAGCTGTTTGCGCTGTCGCCATGCAGATCTAAGTGGTGATCTAAATTTAGACAATAATACAGGCGGTACTTGGTGGCGGCAGTTAGGATCACTCAGTGTGAAGATTTATGGTTCCGGTCGCGTTGGACATATCAGTCCGTCTTTCCTTTTTCTCCTTCTATATTCAATGGTTTAAATCAGCACGAGTTAATATAATTCTACGATATACGTTTCTCAATTCAGGCTCTTGTTCTCAAAGCTCTCCATGTGTATATGACGAATAAAATCGGTGTACCTTTTGATGGAGGGATTTTCTTGATTTTCTTGACACTTTCCTCAACAGTAGTATTAGGCTCAAGTGAAGCTCTTAAGGCGTATATTTAGTTATTGGTGGCACAATGGGGTTGGCTCGCACCATCGTGTAATTACGGCCAACTCCTTGGAAGTATTACTTAGCGGCAAATTGTTTTCCTGTTGTGATTTTAGAAAAAGCAAAAAATCAATCCATTGAGCGTGTCAAGAATCAATGATTTCCTGAACTAATAATAGGCCATGTGATACATTATATGCAGGTCTGCAGGGGAAATTGAGGGGCGGGGGCAGCTCATATTACTTGTCATCGCCCTAATTGAACTTTAGTGGAGTGCGACCAAGATGAATATTTGATATTGGATAGATGTGGCAAGACTCATTAAATGTGCAAGGCTGCATAAGAACGAGCTAGCTACGGAGTACTCCGTATTCGGTTCCAGTTCCGGAATTTTGTCTTACGAGGAATTTTCTGCAACGCTGTGAGTAGTGAGAGGATCCATCTCTACGCAAGAAACAGAAGAGGACCTGGCCGGTTGGTCTCCGCTTGGCGACATTCAAATTCATCTCAGCCGTACGGCTGTGTAACCCCACAGCCACTGGGGCTGCAGACTCTCCTTGCCCAAGTAATAGCATGACAATTCCTGGAAAGTCTTACTCGGATATGAACTTACCTGCCGTGGGCCTTTCTATATGTATATTCTGAGGTGTTTTTGGCAAATATCCACAGAACAGTCAATCTGCACCCAGAACGCACGTATATCTACCTGTAGCGTGTTATCCTGTTTTCACAGAACTTCCGAAAGTCATCTGGCGGGCTATAATTTTTAGACTGCCAATAAGCTGTTGAACATCCTAAATAGTCGTAAACCCTGGAGCTAAGAGCCCCGTGGATCCAGACACGAAGTAACCTTAGAACGCTGTTTGCAGATGTGTGGCCCAGATGTCGACGTGAAGGTTTGTGGAGGCTCTATAAACCGACTTCTGCAACAACATCAAACATTGATGGAGATTGGCCTCGTTAACCCGTCGCTATTTTCTGTTACCATCCGGAGTTCCAAATGGAAGAGAACAAAAGCAGAAGTGGAGTCAAAAAGTTGAGGCCAAAAATGGCAAAAAATCCTCTGACCCGGGATCGAACCAGGGACCTCAAGATAACAAGTTCCTTGCAGAACAGGGCAATTACAGTCTTGCGCTCTTCCAGCTGAGCTATCAGAGGAGATTATTGAAAGATTTTCAGATTTTAGCAATTATCAGTCAAATAGTTGGTCTACCTGAATCTGTACCAACTATGAAATCGTGTTCATTATCGCTCCTGATAACTTGGTATTTTGATACTTTACGTTTTGAAACCGGCGTGGCGTAAACCACCTTCGTAAGAAAACCTCAAGATGATCAGAAAAATAATTCCATTCTAAAGGTTCGTATACATTGCCACTACAAACTCTTGACCTACTCGTAAACCAAATTTCTCCAACTTTCTTCCAAGAAATGTCTTCTGCGGGTTGTTGCAAGACATCCGGTTATCTTGACGAATTTAGAGAGAGAGACTTTGACCAGAAGCTGACTAGAAAACATAGTCTTGTTTAGTGTTTTCCTCTTCTAACGTTCTTAGAAAGTTGTATATTGATTTTGGTTCACTAGAAAGGAACAATCGATAGAGGGGCCTATTTATATATTTAAGCTGGTTCTTTTCGCTTATATGATCATGACATCTCCATTGTGAGGTCTGTAGACAGTTTACTTGCACAGCTGAATTATTCGCGTGTGAGAGTACGACAGCAAGCCCTGGCTCCCCCACTCGCCTCCAATCCCACTCTGCTTCCAACCAGAACAGTAGCCGTATGGGTTGGGGGCTTCGGCGCTATTGATCCATACTGTTCCGACCTCAATCTTCCGCGCAATCCGCTCCGCAGTGCCAACATCATTGGCCCACACGCAAGCCCCTAACCCAGTACATGTCCCATTGACCCTTGGAAGCACTTCATCCTCAGTAGACCATATCATCAGTGGAATGATAGGACCGAACTGCTCCATTTGGACGATGCGAGAATCATCCGGTGGTCGGTCCACAACAACAGGTGCGACGAAAAGTCCTGGCTGCTCGTCGTCGGCGTTTCCCCCACAAAGTAACGTGTAGTTGTTGTCCTTGCAATCGGCGATGAGATCTTTGACCACCTTGTACTGTAGCCCGTTTTGGACAGGACTAAACAGAGGTGACTGGTCATCAGAAGGGTCGATTTTGATATTCTTCACTGCCTCCACAAAAGTATCCCGGAATTCTTGGAAAATCGACTCATGCACATAAACCCTTTTGGTAGCAACGCACATTTGCCCCGAATGAAAAAGGGATCCCGCAGCCACCTTAGTAGCAACGGCTTTGACATCAACATCGGGGCAGACGACACTTGCATCGTTTCCACCGAGTTCGAGTGTTACTCGTTTCAGAGACTTGGCCGCGCTTTCACCTACCTTTTTCCCAGTCGCAATGGATCCGGTAAAAGTAATCTTGTCGATGCCTGGATGAATGGAAATGAGTCTTCCCATGTCGCTGTCTCCGTTGAGTGCCTGGACCAGACCCCGCGGAAGCACGGACGTCGCAAGCTCAACGAATTTCAAAGTGGCACATGGGGTAAATGGTGACGGCTTGACAATGATGGAATTTCCCATGACGAGCGCTGCAGCAATCTTGCTAGCGGCTAAGACGAGCGGAAAATTCCAAGGGCAAATCGCACCTACCACGCCTATAGGAGGATGGGTAGACACGATTTTGAGGGTCTCGGTTTCGTAATCCACTTTATCAGGCAACGACTGAGATGCTGCAACAGTAAGCTTTCCCAGCTAAGAAATGTTTCTTAATGTAGAATTGCAATACCATTAAATCTGATGAACGCCAAAGTATCATCAATCTCCATGTTTGCGAGGAGATTCTGAGAAGCTTCTTAGCGATCTTTTCAATAATCACGATGTGGAAGGGATTTGTTACGGATTTTCCGGTTTCCCCTGCTAGAGGAGGTTGTACTTCATCTCTTCGATGTTCTAGTTCATCGGCTAGTTTGAGTAGGTATTTCTGTCTTTCTTCGACAGGTAGGACCTTCCATAATTCAAACGACACCCTTGCAGCCTCCACTGCGTCATTAAGGTCCGTCTCACGTCCGACTGGTACCTCCCAGAGGGACTCACTTGTCCTGGGGTTGATGACTGTTACAGAATCTCCGGACCGGGGCTCCGAGTTGATAATATTGTAGAACATTCCGAGATCTCAGAAAAGGACAAAGACTCAAACCTCAGAACCTCATGCAGCTGAAAGCCGAATTAAGTATAAAATGCCTGGTGAGCAGTGGGTCAACAAGCTTCTCTCATAACTGTGACGGGGTTTCTACATCATTTCACACTGAATCGGTTATTAGGTGAGCGGGTGGACTTTGAAGACTTCGGCAAAAAGAGGTTCTATAATTAGTGGAGGAGCTGACGTCGAGATTATGTCGAGGGACACAGAGAGGGAAATATGCCCGACATGTGGAGGTTTACTGGCGGGCGAAGTGATGCTTATGGAGAGACAACACAGTTGGATTCGTAACGAGCAAAGTGGACGGAGAGAGGAGAGAGAAAAGGGGAGAGAAGAGAAATTAGTTATCTACGGAGTACTACATCCATGCACCCAACATCCCCTAGTGCCCGCATTCCCTTTCTTTCATCTCAGATAACCATCACCCCGTCATCACTCATCACTCATCACTCATCTCCATCGTCAGACACAGCCTGATTGATCAGGTAAGGATGACCTCATTACCTTAAAACATTTTCTTTTCAGCCATCTTCTAACCTTACGCCTCAGGTTACTTTATCCACCTTTATCCACCCTTGACTTTATAACGGTTCCATCTCAAAATGGAGATGCCCCAGAATTTCCCACCTGGCTTCGTCCTGGACAGAGTTGCTGAACAGCCCAATCAGGATCATAGTGATCTTCGTATAGGTCTTTCTACCAACTTAGTCACTTATGGTGAAGCTTTGACGGCAAGTCTAAACCGCACGGGCCGCATTCCTAGTCAGGTCCAATTACCAACGACGAATCCAGTCCGTCGAGCACACCTACGCAAGATGGCACTTGAAAATGTCGGATCGCCTAACCGTCCTACCGCTTCAACATCGCCCCGTGTAATTCACACCCAGGGAAAACTAGATCTGGAAGATTTTCCGCGACCACTTTCCCAAATCGCCGTGCTTTACTGAAGAAGAAATTCCAAAATGAAAACATGCCGTATTATCAAAGGAAAGACCTCTACATGGCTTTAACTAGGTATATCCTTAGGTTTCCTAAATTTCAATTTTGGAAAAATATGGTATTAGGTATGCTATATATAAGCATATACTGACATCTTACTAGATCTTCTTTTTTGGATGCTCTTCTTAGGGTCTTTCTAGTTGTCTCTTTATATATCTTTTCTAAGGCATTATAAGGCATCATCTAGGTTCAATATTGCTACAACTAACCAACTAACTAATTCCGAGGTTAGTTTGCTCTTCTTAGTCAAGGTGAATTATCTCCCTTAGGCCAGTATAATACCTAACCATTTAAAATGTTTCAAAATGTTAAGCCGCAACCTCTTAACAGCTAACTTGACGATCACCGGAATTTAGCAAGTTACGCCATTTAGTGCCAAGTAAATTTCGTGATCGCCCCTCATGATGATGTAGGCACGAAGAGATTGTTGAAAAAGTACCTTCAATTATTTAATGGAGAGCATACGCAGCTTAATAGACCCAAGAAAATAAAAGATGAAACATTTGTCCAAAGGTGAACCCAACCCGGAATTCGATGAGGATCAACAAACTCAAACAGGGCTGTTCAAGGCATTGGCGCACTATGTGCCCTACTTTCGCAACCCACAACATGTCTTGGTTTTTAAGCTTGACTGCTTGTTGTTGGCATGGACTTTTATTGCTGGAATTTTGAAAGAAATGGACCAAAGTGCGACTGCTCAAGCTTACGTTTCCGGGATGAAGGAATCGTTGAATCTATATGGAAATGAATTGATCAACTTCAATACATTCTTCTCTGTTGGATATGCTATTGGTTTGATTCCAGGTCAACTTATCCAGACCAAAGTCAGTAGTTTCGGAATTTCGACAAATTAACTCACATACTAACTAACCATCTTCAAGGTTCGCCCTTCTATTTTTCTTCCATTCTGTGAGATATCATGGGGAATCCTGGTCACCTGGTGAGTAGGGAGAGACCAAATTACTATTGAACACATGCTGACCATTTAAATAGTATTTCCCAGGCACCAAACGCTAAAACGATATACGCATTGAGGGTCCTGCTTGGATTATTTTCTGCGGTCTTCTGGCCTACCGCTGTATCTATGATCTTCAACTGGTACACACCAGCGGAGCTAGCTAAAAGAATCGCCTTCTTCAACGTATCAGATGCAGCAGGTGGTATGTTCTTAAGCGCGCTTCAAGCCGCCCTTTACACGAACATGAATGGCGTGCATGGTATCACCGGATGGCAATGGCTATTCATTGTCTCGGGTACAGTAACTATTGGACAAGGTCTGCTCGGCCTCGTCATCATCCCAGACTCACCAGTTCTAACTCGCGCTATCTGGCTTACCGATACGGAAAAACGTCTTGCCAGAAAGCGCATGGCTGACTTTGGTGCCAATACCTCAAACATGATTCCTACCAAGGTTGTCGTACAGAAGTTGCGGAAACTCACCTCACACCCTGTGACATACTTCTTCTTGGCTGCTTTTGCTTTACAGGCTTGGGCGAACCGAGCAAATTCTTATTTCACTCTTTATCTCAAGGCGCTGGAAGACTCTTCAGGAAACCTTCGTTTCAGTACATACCAAGTCAACGTTATTCCTATGGGCGGCTATGCTCTCCAGATACTCACTAATTTGAGTTTGAATGCGCTATCTGATTGGAAGCACTGGCGCTGGCAGATCAGTGTTGCGCCGGCCTTTTTGCTCGGCATTGTGCTCGGCGTATTGAGCGCCTGGCCCTCAGATTGGAGGGTCATTATCACCTTTTATTTCCTTACATATGCGACAAATGCAGGAAGTCCATCACTTTTGGCTTGGGTGGCTGAACTCCTCAAAAAAGAACCAGAAGCGCGGTCTATCATTGTTGCACTGACGGTGACAATTGTATACATTGGCCATGCCACAATTCCGATCCGCGTTTGGAGGACGAGTGACTCACCTCATTATCCGATCGGATTCCCTCTCGCGACTGCCTTTATTTTCTCGTCTATCTTTGTTCAACTTGGTATGCTTTGGTGGGGACGACGAAACACTCAACTGGCTAGATATGGATACGACGCGCCGTCCAATATTTCAGCTAGGTTGGATGAAGAGAGCCCTGGGATCGCAGAAAGCCAAGTGGTGATACAGCAGAATGATTCAAAAACCATGAGTCAAGAGGTATCAAGGGTTCAAGACAGGTAACTGCTCTGCGGGTGAATCCAAAGCCATTATATTCCACTGGGGTTGTGTTTCACAGCCAGCACACCACATCCAATGATCTGTTCTCACCCAAATCCTCACACTGTCTATAACGCACCCACTCACACCACTACATACTCATTATCTGCATTCTATAAATATTCCCTATACGTAAATTGCTACATACGACCGACCATAGGGTGTGGAAAACAGGGCTTCCCGTCCGCTCAGCCGTACTATCAAGACTTATAGGACCTTTTGTATGTGAGAGTTGATGCCTGAGTGCCTTATTATTAACAGCCAGCCTCACACGAGGCAACCTGCTCTACGACCTCATCAGAATGCCACTCCGAAGAGAACTAGTCCTGCAGCTTAATTGTAAGAACTTTAAGAGGAGCCATCTAAATAAAAGCTAGTAGGACCGCTAAATCGGGGGTTATAAAGACTAAGACCGAGGCGCTGGTTGGTATACCGTTAGGGAATTGTTGGATGAGAATAGCTGCTGCGACAACTGTGCTAAGTTGGACGGCAAGTTTGCTAACTGTGTCCGGGTGTCTGGGAATGGCAGCCTGTCCGGATTGCTACTTCGATCGGTAGAGTGGGATATGTAGCTTCGTGAAGGAAGAAAAGGAAGCCAATATACCGATCCCGAGAAAGCCAGAGCAGCAAGCCGATCAAATTTACATTTTCCAACGTTCCGCCGAAGCCGGAGTCGATGTACTCCGTTCCTTACTAATTCCTACCGGCCCTTTTTCGCCGGTGGGGGTGGGTCCGGCTACTATACTTCACACCACTCACGGAGTTCCACCGGGCTTATCTCAATATGAATCTCGGTTGACGCTGTGTTTAATAGCCAGCAAATAAACTGCAAAGTTGACAAAGTTGGAGTCACTACAATATATACCGATTGCAGAAAAATATTTGTTATAGCAGGGCTTTAGTAAAAGGTCGGTAATCAGATTGTAACATGAATATATTTTCAGGCACCGCTAATAACCTCGGAACATTAGAAAACTTAAGCTGCTGCATTGTAATGATTATAAACCATTTGACCCCTCTACTTCTCTAGAAAGAGCGCTGCCACCCGAGGACCAAGCGTGGCCTTGACCTATCTGTGATCCGGTGGACACTACTCAAATCCCGAAAACGTGGGATAGGTCATAGCCACCGAGTCCAAGCCACCACCTCATGTCAGTATACAACATAGTAGCAACACTAATTTCCAACCACTCAAAGCCTCACCTGGTGGCTTTGCGGGGATGCCACGGGCTAGCGCCGGAGTGTATGTACCCATCAGTGACCTCGCAACGAAGCGCAAAATTGACCAAGAAACTTTATCGAGCATCCGAAGTATTCCCAGCGAGTACGGCACGTATACATACTGGTGAAGATGCCGGGCATTCCGTCTCCGATGCCGAGTGGGATACCCGCTAGCCAAGTCTGGTTGCCCAAGCGTTGATCATCAGGAAAATGTCTCGTCGTGCCAAGGCCGGCAACCTCGGGCCAATTTACACAATTTTTGTTAAGGTTTCTAAAGTTTCTAAGGTTGTCATATTTGCTTTCATAGTAGGAGAGCAAATTAGGAAGAAATTGCCGAGCGTTGAAAGTCAGTCAGGCCAATAGATGCAAAGGAGGCCGAACTAGAGAATTAAAATGCGTCATACCTAGGTAGGTTTTGCGCACTGATTGTGCCCCGCGCGTGCAGGGATGAAGAGATTTCCCCGGAAAGAGAAATGTGTGGGGTCCCCACAAGAACGCCAAGACGGTCTCGGTAGAACTTCGGTTACTTATGAACGTTTCCCAAGGTCCATGGATTGTACTCACTATGACAATTCTGAAATGGTGGGGTGTACTCATATGGACAACCTATGTTGTACCTACAATATTTTAACATAGAAAAGTCGTTTTCATCACCTATATGCTAGTTACAACACCAACTACAACACCAACAAGGGGGAAGTATCTATAAAAGCACATCTAGGAAGAAGATATATGAAAAGACTTGGAAGAAAGACTACGAAAAAAAAAAAAAAAAAAAAAAAAAAAAGAAAAAGATGGGACGTATGGAGTATGGACAGCGGGATTTCGAAGGTTGGAAATTCGGCCCAGTATTCTTGGTATTCTTGTATTCTTATCGTTGAACCTTCCAAAGATCCTTGGCCTCAGGATCCAATCATTATTTCTCCCAATCATTATTTCTCCCACGTCATCGGTAGAACTCCGGCAAGTTTTACTTCCCCTCCATACCCCATACCTCATATCCCAACTAGGTCATTTGTTTCCGGAGACGGGTCGCCGGATGCGGAATTGCAGGCTATAAAAAGGAGTGAATATCCCAAGATAACATTCCTGTGTCTAACAAAGTTGCCAAAAATGCCCCGCGTCGCTCAGTTTGTGGTTTCAGGCCTTTTGGCTGCCACAGTGGCTAATGGCCAGTCATTTGATGGAGGCAGTCGAAGTGAAGAAGCTTTCAGTTATGTCCAGCCCAAGAACACAACCATCCTGGGCCCTTACGGACACTCCCCTGCCGTCCTTCCCTCACGTATGTTGTTCTTGGATCTTTATTTATATGTGTGGGCTCTTTCTGATCTATATCACAGCCAACGCTACCGCTTCAGGTGACTGGGAGGAAGCCTACGCCAAAGCCCAACAGTTTGTCGCCAAGTTGACAATCGATGAGAAAGCCGACATGGTCACTGGCCAGCCAGGCCCATGTGTGGGAAATATTGTTGCCATCCCACGGCTCGGGTTCCCAGGCCTCTGTTTACAGGACGGTCCACTATCAATTCGAGTAGCCGACTATGCCAGTGTTTTCGCTGCCGGTGTCACTGTGGCATCTACGTGGGACAGAGATCTCCTCTATGAACGAGGTTACGCCATGGGACAAGAGTTCAAGGCTAAGGGTGCTCACATCGCCCTCAGCCCTGTGGCCGGCCCACTCGGCCGCTCTGCCTACGCAGGCCGAAACTGGGAAGGCTTTGCTGCTGATCCTTACTTGACCGGTGTCGCCATGGAGAAGACCATTCGCGGCCACCAGGACGCTGGCGTGCAAGCCACCGCCAAGCACTTTATCGGTAACGAGCAGGAGACTCAGCGTAACCCTACCTACGACCCCAATGGAACTCTCACAGATGTTATTCAGGAAGCACTTTCCTCCAACATCGATGACCGAACCATGCATGAGCTATACCTTTGGCCCTTCGCCAATGCCGTCCGCGCACAGGCTGCTAGCTTCATGTGCGCATACCAACGTCTGAATGGTTCTTATGCTTGCGAGAACTCCAAGGCACTCAACGGCCTTCTTAAAGAAGAGCTTGGTTTCCAGGGATACGTTATGTCTGACTGGGGTGGCACTCACTCTGGTGTCGCCTCGATTGAGGGTGGTCTCGATATGAACATGCCCGGTGGCCTCGGTGCCTACGGTAAAGTCCCCGAGGGTCAAGTTGCCGATGAGACCTCTTTCTTCGGCAAGAACGTGACATATGCCGTTAACAACGGAACCGTCGATGCATCTCGTGTCGATGATATGATCGTCCGCATTATGACACCCTACTACTGGCTCGGACAGGATGTTGACTACCCAGAGGTCGACCCCTCATCCGCCGACCTGAACACCTTCTCTCCCATATCAAGCTGGTCCCGCGAGTACAATCTCACCGGCGAGCGAAGCCGTGATGTCCGTGGAGATCATGCCAAGATGATCCGCAAGCTCGCAGCTGAAGCTACAGTCCTGCTGAAGAACGAAAAGCAGGTCTTGCCCTTGAAGGCGCCTAAGAACATCGCTGTCTTCGGCAACGATGCCGGTGAGAACACAATGGGCCCTGTGAACGAGGCCACCTTCGAATTCGGCAACCTCGCAGCTGGTGGTGGTTCAGGTACCGGCCGCTTTACCTATCTTGTCTCCCCGCTTGAGGCCATCAAGACTCGCGCCAAGAAGGACAATGCCCTTGTCCAATACTTCTTGAACAACACCCAGATCGCGACCAACGATGTCACCGATCTTTGGGTTCCCACCACCCCCGATGCCTGTTTGGTCTTCCTGAAGACCTGGGCCGAAGAAGGTGGCGACCGCGAGCACCTGAAAGTGGACTACGACGGTGACGATGTTGTCGAGTCCGTCGCCAAGTCTTGCAACAACACAATCGTCATCACCCATTCCTCCGGTATTAACGTCCTCCCCTGGGCCACTCACCCCAACGTCACCGCCATTGTCGCTGCCCACTACCCTGGCCAGGAAGCCGGTAACTCCATCGTCGATGTCCTCTATGGTGATATCAACCCCTCCGGCCACCTCCCCTACACAATCGCCAAGAACGCCAGCGACTACAATGCCCCTCCCACCACCGCAGTGTCTACCAACGGCACGTACGACTGGCAATCTTGGTTCGATGAGAAGCTCGAGATTGACTACCGCTACTTCGACGCTAAGAACATCTCCGTACAGTACGAATTTGGCTTCGGTCTCTCGTACACAACCTTCACCCTCTCCGACCTCAGCACCGAGCCTGTGGCCGACTCTATCTCCTCCATCCCCGAAGAGAAGCCCATTCAGCCCGGTGGTAACCCCGCTCTATGGGAGACTATCTACAACGTGACTGTTTCAATTACCAACTCTGGTGATGTCGAGGGTGCTACCGTTCCTCAGTTGTATGTTACCTTCCCAGACAGCACCCCTGAGGGAACACCGCCCAATCAGCTGCGCGGTTTCGAGAAGGTCTCTTTGGCTCCGGGAGATTCGCGCACTGTTGGATTTGAGTTGATGCGCAGAGATTTGAGTTATTGGGATATTGTTTCCCAGAAGTGGCTTATCCCCGAGGGCGAGTTTGTCCTTCGTGTTGGATTCAGTAGTCGTGATTTGAAGGCGGTCGCTAAGATTACTCCTGTTTCCGCTTGAAGCCTATTACCTGTATATAGAGAGAGCCTCGATTAGATAGCCATATAGTATATATGAGACGTTTTGGTTTTATTCTCAAGTTTTTCTACTCGCCTCCTTATTACTTGGTCTACAGCAAGGAGTTGTTCTTAGGGCTAATGTCACCTCTAACCAAATAGGAAGGAATCAGAGAAATTGATGGATCCCACTATTCACATACCCAACTGTGGACGGACCTCGTTTTATCGAAGGATATCCCTTTTCTGCAGTCATGACTGTTTGCTTGGTGGCCATGACGTTCGTTATTCGTTACACCTATGGCTTGAATGGGTAAGATCTCCAGATGCCCTTTTACACATGTGACTTGTTGCCAATGGAATACAGGGAGAAGAGTATAACGACAGGGATGGGTCTGAGGAGGAATCGACAGACACAATTGGGGGTTTGAGGGAGCGAAGGACCAGATTTCGGTTGTGGGCACCAGCTTGTAATTGGCAGCTTCGTATATTACAGCAAAATTGTTGAGGGCCTGAGGCTCTACATGATTTGAGAAGACACACAAGGCCGATCATTATTGTCCACTATCAATGAGTACAAATACGGTGTTCCAACGAATCTGCGACTGTACACAATTGTCCATGTTTGTATGTATTAGGAGACTAAACAGTATTTATTAACCAAACAAAAATGAACCCCGACTCCTTCCCATCTATCTATATACTAAGACACAAAATTTACTGCATTATAAGTCAGATCACCAATGGTGATTGATCTAGGGCCGGTTGAGCTGTTCACGGCGGTAGAAGAGGAGGAAACCAAAGCTATAATCACGGTTAGTACAATGCCATAAGATGAGTGACGGAGGATGGTAACTGACCTAGCCAGAAGCTGGAAGAAAAGGGCGATCCAGAACCACGCATTTCCAACCGCGTCCACTGACGAACCAACAGGCGGGGAGATGTCTCCTGGGCCAACCTTGTTTGGCGCGAATCCACGAGCACAGATAGTGGCGATAGATCCAAGAGCCTGGGCGGCCAACAGGACGAAAACGACGTGCACTCTTGTCAAGGTCTGTAGGAGAATCATTCCCAAGCCGACTTGTTGAATCTCATCGAGAACTCCGAGCCAGAGCCAGAGACAACGGGATGCGATAGCTCCGGAAGTCAAACCTCCAGCCCATGGGAGATAATACCCGATGTTGGAAGTTCCCCACCATGTTTGTGCCCATCGCGGTGCACCGATACTCAGACCGAAGACGGGTAAGATCCAACTGTGCTCCTTGGACAAGAAACGGAATAGTAGCATCACACCCACCCAAAGGACAACGAAGAAGAAGAGGACGAGGAGAGCGACTTCCCATGGTTTGGTATGTTGAGAGGACCAGAGGAATGACCAGTTTCGACCGAATGCCGCGGAAAGGAACCAGTTCTGGATGATGACCATGAAGAAGAACCAGAGGACGATTCGGCGACGGAAGAGGGATGTGTAGAAGAAGAGGATCTTTCCGGGTGCTTGGCGATAGTACTTAGGCAAGCCAAGGGCAAGAAGTACACCGATAATGAAACAAACTGCAGCAATAGGCATCACCACAGCTGTGAGTTTCCAGGAATTGAGGGCAACCGTGGAAACACCTCCCACTTCTGCTGCAGTGACTTTAGAACTCCAGTACCACAAGGCAACAGTGTAGAGCTGTGAGATTCCCTGGATAAGACTTGCGCGGAACATCCAATCCTTCACAGGGACAGCACCTTGATCACCAAAGTTGAGAGCGAAGAACAGGGAACCACTGGAAGACGCTGCGGCATATACACCTGCGGCGACATTCTGAGCCCACGCTTGACCGAGTTCCGAGAGTGCGAACGGAGAAACGCCCATGGTGACGAATGCCATGGAATATATGAACCAGGGGAGAGTGAGGACAATCACAGACGGGAAACGGAAGAAGAGGCACCACCAGGCAATGGAAGAGACGCAGTAAATTGCCGCGATAACGTAGAGCTTGACTGCTGTCTCACCAATCTGGCCAGCCAACAGGGTGATCTGCGCAGAGTTCGTTGCAATAATCTGTCCGAGACCCAGGAATAGAGCATAGACAGGCCAGTTTCCGACGCGCCATCTCATGAAGCGCTGGACGGCGATGGGTCTCTTGTATCCCAGACGGGAGAGCCACTGATCAATTTCATCTGTGTTGTTCGCATCAGAGTCTTCGGGACCTTCTGTGACGAGGTTATACGGTATGTTCTCGGCGGGTTTGTCCAGGTCACGTCCTTTGGGCTGTTTCTTCAGCTGCGCATCGTTGTACATGTAGAAGAACTTCCGTTCGCTCTTCATGAGATAAAGCTCAATACAATAATCTGAAATTGAGTTTTTCTTGTTGAGGTTGGCGAGCATGGTTTCGAAGTTTCGCGTGAAGTGGCCCATGCTGTCCGTAAAGGTCGGGTCGACCTTTTGCAGATGGAAATCGGGTTGATTATGGTCGTTAACAACAGAAGGCAAGGAGAGGACAGATATATTCCGGCTCTCGTGAGCGAAAGGCGCATCTGGATCGGAAATGTCACGAGCTAGTCTCACCGGAGAGGAGTCCCTTGAGAGGAAACGCGATGACTCCGAGGCCGACGAGTCAGACTCGCCACGAGTGTGATTGTTGTTTCTAGGGTGTGTTGCAACATCCTGAAGAGGTAAGTTGACTGCTGCCATGGCCTCTTCTTGGGTGATCAAGTTCTCCTGTGGTGTGACAAAGCCCTCATCGTCCGTGGTATCACCGTCGATAGGCTCGAGCATCTGACTCTCGCGCGGTGACTTCTTGGTGAGACGCTTTCTTCCATGTCCTGGTCCAGATCGTCGACCGAGCGATAGGTTGCGGTTTAACGTGTTGCCTCTGTTGCTTTCGGCTGCTTGCATCTCTTGAGCTTCGACTGCCTGTAGCTGGAGAAGGGAAGGCTGAGCGGGCTGGGTCTGTGATGTTCTGTTCGCATCCAAAGTCCCCGGCAATGACAGATGTGATGAAGGGCGGCTGATCATACCGGAGTCCCGTAAGCCTGGGGTCTCCCAGTAGATCTGAGACTCTCGCGCCGAACCTGCAACGGTGAGTTGATTCTTTTGGCGATGGACGTGGATAGAAGTCCGCTGTAAGACTTCGAGCTTCTGAACCCACTCGAGGACGGGGAATCGCTGCTTGGCAGAGTTTGCACGCATCTCCTGTCGGGTCTCGAGTGACGAGTCTAGGGCAGATTTGATGGCGGTTCTCAACTGGTGCAAGAGATGGCGGGCTGAGTCGGATTCCACGGTGTACCACCAACCAGGCATCTGGCCTAGACCTCCGATGCGAGAACCAATTCCAAGTGCACCCTTACGGCCAAACTCAACGGCAATCAATCCAAAGGGCTCGTCACGGGATGGGATCAAGGCGAAGTCGGCACCGGAGAACACGAAGGGAGGAAGGATCGTAAACTCTGGCTTCGAGAAGACACGGCCTGGGAACATTTCCATAATGCGCTCCAGCTTGATAGCGGCGAGTTTACCATAGAGATCAATGAGGGGACCAATACAGATCAGCTGCACATTAGGCCGGGCAGACAAGACAGCCGGCATAACATCGGCAATCAAATCGACTCCCTTCTGCTTTGACCATCTTCCCACAAACACTAGCAAGTCAGCGTTAGGGTCCTCGTTCAAACCGGCCCATTTCTGTGCCTGGAGTTTGTCATTGGCAGACTCGTCAGTAGTCTGAACCGAAACTTCCGTGTCGGGGTCTTTCTTCAAGGCGCCTGTGTCAGAGGGATCTGGATTGGGAAGACTGCCAATCTTGGCAAGACTCCAGAAGATTGGATAACGGGCCCATGAGCGCTTTCCATACTTCTCGGACACACCTACTGCACCGAAGCCGCGTTGATGGAATCGCAAATAGCTAGCACCGGTGTGAAGCAGGTTGAAAACGTTGCCGAACTGACAGTATTTGGTCGCTACTTCAACTGGGATATTGAAGACAGAACAGACTTCTTTCTTCTCTTGTGGGGTTCTCAAGGCCCAAAGACCCTGGAACTCGGCATTGTGCAATGACAGACAAACTGGGATAGTGCGTGACGGGAGCAGGTAAAGCGGTGCCACGCAGCCGTGGAAATCGTTGATGTGATAGAGATCGATGGAGGGTGTTCGCTTTATGACCTCTGCGATACATTGATTCCAGGCCGAATAGTAAATTGCACTGTCAAGGTCATCCATACGCGGAGGATAAGGTTCCGCCTTGGTTTGCTGCCGGAAAACCGGAGCATCAAGGAGAACGTAGGTGATGTTATCGACAACGTGATACTGCACCTGCACCGAATAGGGATGATCCAGGATCGTCACCACGAAAGGCTCAGCAGGTGTATCCTCGGGGTAATCAATATCCCCGACACAAGGAACCACCCAAATAAGATTCTGGTGCTTCAGATTCTGTGACATGAGCTGCGCCATTACTCCTAGACCACCAATCTTGACTTTGACCTTCCAGTCCTGGATGTCGTACTCCATGGTGGCAATCAAGACAGTGCGGCGCTGGTCACTCGCTCCCGCTGCTGTCAGAGCCATGTTTCCTGGCACACCCTTGTCTTCCATGTCGATCTCTTCGAAATCATTGTCTTTGGTGAATGTTCCCTTGATCCGGCGCCAAAATAGTACCGGGAATTTATCGGCCTTGGTGACATTGCCATTCATGTTAAGCTTGACACGGTAGAAGTTTCCGATGAAGATGAAGACACCAGCCAAGCCCATAAGAATCGGAACAACCCAGAGAAGAATAAAGAGGATCAACTGGGCCCATCCCGATCCGACGGGGATCATTTCGTATCTTAGGTTGCCATCATCGAGGGAGATAGTCCAACCAAGATGCGGGAATGGCGGCAGGGTGGTGATATTGATGACGTTTGATGAGAGATAGGACGGAGGAAGCTTTTGAACTGAAGACGAGTTGCCGACATCACCATAGACCTCGGAATTATCAGGATTACCGGCACTGTCTGAGCCCCAAACATTCAGCTGGCCTATGGCTGGCCATTCGTAAACAAAGTCGTAGGTCCAGCGAGACGTTTTAGAATCGTACTTCATCTTGCTGTCCATTCCTGCATCATAGCCGTACTGGTTGTATGGACCGTTAAACCACAGATGCGGGAATCTTCGGACTCTATCACTCTCATGATCACCTTCCTGGATGTAATCACTGCTTCCAGTGAGTCGCGAGAAGTACTGGACTCGTATATGAGTTCCCTCCCACTTCTGGGAGTCTGTGCCAGTGAAGCTTGGGATGGTAATACTCGTATTGCCACCTTTATACGCCTCCCATTCATTCCAGCTCCGACCAAAGTCAGACGAGTATCGGAACATGTCTGCACCGGCAGCTCTGTGCTGGAGGTAAAGGTTGTCGTTAGACTTGTGGACCAGAGTGGTAGAGTAATTGGCAAGCGGAGACATGAGGGGGTTGTCATGAGCACCGAGGCGCAATAAGAACTTGTCGGTCGAATTGGTGTAGACTCCGGAAGAGGAAACGTTCTTGACGGTCAGTTGGTGGATTCCATGGTGGACATTTTTCAGATTTGCAGACCATGTCCAAACAGTCGGGATTTCTCCGGTGTATGCATGGCTCGTGGTCCGGGCCGAGATTTTGGTGCAGTTGACACTAGATGTATCAAGCTCGGCGGTGATGTTCTTCTCTGTTGTAGAATTCAGATAAAATGCCTTTGTGATGCTGTCACAGTCCATCTCCGTGGAATATCCAAGCTGGATAGGCATGGTTTCACCCGTGTCTTCTGAGGATAGCAACCGAGCATCGTGTCCAGGGAAGAAATCGGTGACAGTAGGGCCGGGTTCGACGAATTCGGACGCCTTGACATAGGCCCGGTATTCCCATGGAAGCAGCTTCATTTGACGGACACATCCGTAGGTGTTGTCGGACGACTTGGGGCCATCTTGCAAAGTCAGCTCATCGTAAGGATAGAAGAGATTCTTCAATTTTGTCCCTGAGTCAAATGGAGCCAATAAAGACCCATTCACGGAGGTGCAGTTGCCCCCGTATGTTTTGGTCGAGTTTCCGTTTTGATACACAAGCCAGAGGGTCTCGTTGGCTTGGATTTCGTTTGTTTGTACCCCTGGGAAATAGCTTCGCAATACAGACCAAAGGCCAGTAACCGTGGGAGTGGTAGAAGAACCAGGAAGGTAAATGTCTTCTGTGAGTTGAGAGATCGTTTCAAGGAACAAGCCGTCTTGAGCGACGGGGTAATGGGCTCGAATCTCGAACATGCGCTTCATGATGTTGCGAATTGGATGGGCGGGATTCCGCTGGTCGTATGTGACAGTGATATCATTGCAACCATTACGCCCCTTATCGATAGGGAAATCGTAGAACTTTTCGGTGTTCAAGTTGAAGCAGCCTTGTGTCCACCATGCGGTCTGGTATGTCATAGGCTGCCGGCCGAACATATAGTTCGCTGCAGTAGCGTCGAAGACGTACATGTCCTGCTCTTCTCCCCACAGGATAAGAGGGATTCCAGGAAGCTCCAGCGAGATGATGTACAGACCCAGGAGGTATTTATCTGTACCATTCTGCAAAGCCGGCCAGCGGAAATTATCCTGGTTTGAGACACCATACATATGCCTCGGATCGATTTCTCCGGTGAATGCATTGAGGAAATCGTTGTTAATGAGCATATCATTCCAGGCTTCGATGAAGTCGGTAGGCAAGTCAAAGCCGGCAACCAGATTACCGTCCATCCCCAGGAAACGGGTCATCGAACGGTAGATGGTATAATGAAATGCGGAGCTATCCAACGCTTGCAGCCCATCCTCTCGTAGGAAAGCCCCCTCCGAGGTGTTCGTAAGCTTCGCACCCTCGCCTGCACTACCCACACGCTGATCTGGCTGGCGACCGCGACCTAGGTAGAGACTGCCAAAGGTATCTCCGGAGGTGATCTCGCCGGGGAGGAAGAAATTTTTCTTGCCAAGTTTCTGTGCGCATTCACGGTAGACGGGGAGCATCTGACTCATGGGCTCGAGGGTCGACTGCACAGCCTTATCAAAGCGGAAACCGTCGATATCTAAACTCGCAATTTGAAGGCAGGAGTGTTGAACGATCACATCGCGGACAGGCTTGTGCCATTCACGCAGGCGATCCTGCACGGAGGCAAACTTGGTAAGTTGACGCTGCCAGTCGGGGAAGTTACCAAATGCCTCTAGCTCTCCATATTGATCAAAATCGCTGTTATAGCAACCATTCAAGTCTTTAACGTCTCCGTCTGCTAATGGGTATCCATCCTCATTCCAGAACTTAGGATAGTTGCAAGTCTCGTTCCACTCGTTACCGAACTTGAAATCGGCATATTCTCGGTCGGTAACCCATTGGACTTCATATTCCGATGCTTTGAAATCGGCGGAGTCGTTCAGATGGCCTTTGAATCCGATCAGGTTGCTCAATCTGTGTTTTAAGATCAGTCCATGAACACCCGAAGATGTATGAGTATCGACTTACGTTGCCAGTGTGTTATCCATCAACACATACATGTTCCGTTTGTGGATCTCGTCGACGGTCCGCCTCCAGTCGTCCAGTGTTCCGTAATGCATGTCGAGGAGAGTGGTATCGACCGGCGAGTACCCATCGTAGGCCCAGGGCAAGTTCATCAAGTACGTTCCAGCGAAGTAAATGACCTGTTGGGGTTAGCGATAAAATCATTCTGAAGCTGGACCTTAACTAACCTTGAATCCCATTCCCTCAATATAGTCCAGTGTATCTATCAACCCTTCCAAATCACCACCGTGGCGCATCTGGTTAGAGTTGATGACATGCTCAAAGGCGGTTCCGTTGATATCGTCATTTGTAGGGTCGCCATTGGATATACGGTCCAAAAAGATCGTATATGTGGGCATGCGCCAGTTATCTGGCGACGGATGGTACTCATGGTCCGGCCATGCTCCCCAATAATCGATTGGGGATGCAGCAGTTTTGTTTTCGTTCAGATTGTATTTAGCGAGTGGTTCGTCATATGGCCAACAAAAGGCATAGACGCTCAAAAACGACAGTATGAGGAAAGCTGAGCGCTGCATTTCCGTGTATAATACTGTTATCAGCAGTAACCTGCTGCCGGAAAGATGCGCAACTCAAAGAACGAATGAAATGAGCTTTTAGCGAATAACGAGAGTGAGATGAGTGAAAGAACAAAAAAAATCATCTGAAACAAGCTTCTAGCATTTTACTGCTTACTGATTTCCAAGCTTTTACAGACTACATATTTTCATCTTTTTTTTTTTTTTTTACTATGGGGAACAAAACCCTTATCGGGCCGAATGGATGAGAGCTATACATAGACGCCGTACACTCTACAAGACCCACGTACATCCACCCAGTCAGATTTTATCGTATCCACTGACTTTTCGCCTCTACGTGGCTGGCTTTTGGGTCTATGTCTCAGATAGATCCAAAGGATTTTATGTATTCTTTGCTACAACATAGTAATTATTAGCAAGAGACCTTGATGTTAGTGCGCTTAACCTATTCTAACTTGGGTACCTAGGTATATGTGCGATTTAATATTCTCATGAGAAATTTTATGGGCTCACAAAGTGAGGCGGTTATGCAAAGTGCACCTCTTAGCCATTTAGCTGCATCGGAATACTAGTGTGGATGTACGTTGTATGGCAAAAAAAGCTTTTCAAATAGTTAACATACATGTCTTAGGTCAAAGCACAGCCTTTGTCTCTTTTTTTCTTTCTCTTTCACTTTCGAACTGCATCATGCAATGCTACCGATAATCCTAGAGGGTTATCTTTGTCATTAATTCAAAGTGGAGTGAGGGAACTATTCTACCTTACACCGTATAACTATGTTGTAGACTAAGAAGTATTCCAAAGACATTGAAGAGCGAGACCTACCCCTCTCTATCTCCAAAAAAAAAAAAGAAATACACAATACTTCGGACTATTTTAGGGATATTCTGTTTTGCCCTGAAATCTGAAATCTCTACCATTTCGTATGGAGTCGATTCTTTTTTTACTCGGTCCCACTTTCGTCACATCTTCGGTTTCCGAGACCACTATATCACCAGAATCCCTGGGATGTGAATCAGGGTGAAAATAATTCCTCACTCTGAGACCTTCAAATTCCTTTGATAGATGTTCTTTCTTAAATTCACTATGCAACCCAGCCCCCTGATTTATTTCCTTGTTTTGATGCATACGAATTTGATCTCCCGTGTCTTAGATAGAAGCGAGCGAATCCACACTACATACATATGCGCCTAACGATCCCGTCACACCTCCAGTTGCAATCCCGAGAAAAAGAAAGGGCTCATCCCAATGATTTCGTGTCAGTAATCCAATGACGGGGCTCGGGATCGCACAGAGTAATCTTCAATAGTAACCATAATCATGATATCTTTACTTTTTTTTTTGCCGCGCTCAGGCACTCGAAATAAGCATCGTTATCATGGGGTGTGCGGCCCAGATGTCGCACAGACATGCGACTTCAACGTCCCAGTCACATTCTCAATCATATTCGAATGGTCTATCGGAAGCTTATTTTCCGTGTCAGATTATACATGTTTATACATGTTTATACATATGTTGTAACTATTTATGGTGATATCCACGTGCTACCTATACGTATATCCATATGTTGTACTCCGTACGGAGTACAGAGTACAATGATACATCATGCCCCGATAAGGATAGTTTAAGTATACTAGTCTTACTAAATATAGCCGAAGGCATCAAGCCAATGATTACAGCCAATGATTGAACCGTGTGGCCATATATGTAACTGGTCTTGTTTCGAGCGCCCCATACAAAGTGGATCAAAGTTGATTTCAGTCGATTCAGAACAATCTCTATGATACTCTCACACCCTGTTTAGGAACAGGCTAGGGCATATGTGCTTAGCTTAATTCCAAATATCGTCATGTATTGTCCTCTGTCGGGAAATGTCTTCTCTGCCACGCTGGAGCCTCGACAGGGGAGCATCGTGGCAAGTCCGCCACCTACCTGGCCCAGGGCACGACCCAACAACCTTTTTTGGAGGGGCGAAAGGGAAGGACCGAGTACCTATAGTGTTGGTGGGCATCGCCGAATAGCAAATTGCAAGGATTAAGTTATATCGCAATTGTATACAAATGGTACATAAGCACAATATAGTCAAAAACTCAATTTGATTAACCTTCAAAATAGCTACAACATATAACTATATGTGTCTTGGCTACTTCCAAGGTTCGTATCAACCATGTAAGTATTACAAGTACCTAGGTATGCTCAAAACAGGACAGGTTCAACCTTTATGTGTGTATATAACTACCTATATTGTTCATGTGCGATGGTTTTCAATGTACTCTTTACACTCCTACATCATTTATTTAGGATCAATACAAACAGTTAAATTTGCTTGGGCTAGTTTGAGGGTTTTGCTATGATCCAGTGGTAAAATTACACTGTACTTTGTCCAACACTATTCAGTGAAAATTTTCTATCTGGTGGTGTCCATAGGCACGATTACTGCCTAGGAACTGACCTATGAGCAGCCTCGGATATCCGAGACTCGCTGCATTGTTCGGTTCTTCCGGTTATTTTAAATCGGACGGTTCCACATAACCACCTTTCCTGCCTTATATTTCAGGTATCAATATCTTGAACCATGGCTGACTACCACATACAACCCGATTTTTACCAAAAGATTGACAGGGACAAAAGCATAAAATACTAGCAGATATATGTAGCTTGTCTGTTCTGCTATCATTACAAGTCATACCGCTCTCTAACTAGGTTCTAAGGGGCATGTTACAAGGCATACTCTGCTTCGTCTACACATATGATGATATAGACATAGTTAACTAGTTACAAGGTGTCGCATGTACCTTGCTTAATAACTAGCCCATCCCATTGATCCTTCCGTCGCGCTATTACGGGCGACAATAAGGAATCCTCCCCTGCCGATCTAGAGGCTGCCGTCTGGGACGGTGAAGTTGTAACTAACTTTAGCACCCACACTAATAGCAAGCCTCGTGTACTAGGTGGCTTTTTTACATTAGAAAAGGTGGATAATCGCCGGGTATACTAAGCACTTATATTTAGCTCAACAAGACAGAGATTCCACCTTGATTCTTATCTTCAGTCCCCATTTCCCACACACCAACCACCTAATCACTTCCAGTTCTTTACATTATAATTGTTATAACCTGCCTCTGGACTGGCGAGTTACAAACTAGGCCAAAAGACCATTATATCTAAGCATTACGCTCAGATTGTCCAGGCTCCGATATATATACTGCATGACATGACAATAATCTTCTCACATACGTAAAATGATACATACGACCATAGGGTGTGGAAAACAGGGCTTCCCGTCCGCTCAGCCGTACCTAAGCCACGTACTAAACGCGGCCAATTCTCAATGTTCCCTAAGACTGAAAACGGCGTCGGTTTATACCTTGGGTGTGGGTGATATGGGTGAGAATTCTGAAGCCTACGTAGGGTGAGAGAGGTGAGAACGGGGTGAGAGCAGAAGATACTGACGGGAAGCCAGGAGAAAAAAGAGAGAGAGAGAGCAATGCAACTGTATTCGTAGTGCTAACTGCTAAAGAAGAAGAAGGGGAAAAGAAGAAGGGGGAGAGGGAGACTACAGTCCTGTCACATAGGGTCAGGGGACCCAACAGATACTCCAGAGGATATCCAAAGGAAGCTTGAAGAGAGGGTCCAATCTTTATCTACACTGCCAACGGCTCGCAATAAATCTTTCAGTGATCTTGACGAGGCTTTCTTCACTCAACTCGAGTTCATCTGTGGTGCCTGGAGGAACCTTTCCGATAGGAATGATCATTGGCCCCGTGGTGGTAATATTGGCGGGTAGACCGTTCCGTCCACTGTGATCCTTTTCATCGAACGTGATTAAACCACGACCCCAAATCTCTAACTCAAAAGCCTGGCGCCGACCAGGTCGTCCGAACGCCTTGTACACTACCCAGCTGATGTGACCTTTTCTTCACAAGTTGTTGGGTAAAACATTGTAAAGGAAAAATCGCGAATTCCAATCTTGTTGGACTTGTGTACACTCATTAACTAACTAGTTAGTTAGTTATGTTGTAGGTGGTTTACATGACGCGGTGACTTAGGCGGTTAAAATCTTTGCAGGAATCGGGCCTAAAAGTATCACGGAAGTCCAGTCGCCTATTATCTCTTGCTTGGTTAGTTCAGTGTCCTTGTCAAATGTCTTGGAATCTATCTACAACATACTCCATACATCATTGTAAACCGTCGAATAATATCGAGATATCCCACTTTATATGGAGATCAAAAGCTTCCAAGGTTCCAAGGTTCATTTTAGGATGAATATTTACATTACCTTGTATAGGGCGGTTTGGCTTCCAGTTGCTTCGGTTAGATGAAGCGCCTGGATAGTCATACGCAACTAGTTAGACTGTAACAGGTTAATTGAACTTTGATTGATTGATTAAACAAAAAGGGAAGACAATAGATACTAAAGTGATAGGTAGCCATAACTACAAAGCAGCATACCAACAGGACAAGAGTTCATTAATCGTGTACTTGGATACCGGGGTAGGGGTTGGCCCGCCAAAGAAATCCCCGTGCGTCATTTTAATGCTTTTTCAATAGGCCGCCGAGGCCTCTCCGGGGTATCCAATGTCGCCCATTACTCAACATAGTTGGCAGGGAATGGTCCCTTCTGCCCTCTCAACTCGCCTTCCCACCAATCGTCCGTGCTATTGGTCTTCCGCATGACGCGAATGCGGTCTCCTTCCCGGAAACTCAGATCACCATTTCCCTGGCCATCAAAGTCATACAGCGCCGTGACAAACACGGGACGAGAAGCTGCCGGCGGTGGTGGCGGGGGCTTCTTCTTCCCAATGGCGGCAGCCATGGGTGATACCTTGGCCTGGAAGGCGTCTATGTTCGGGCCAGCGGGGGATCTCACCACACCTGATGGAACGGGAGTGGCTTGTGGCGTCGGCAAGAATGTCGGACGAGGGGGTTCGAAGTAGTCGCCGCCCGTCGAGAGGGGCTTCGATCCTGCGGTGTTTCCGACAGGAATTGCGCTGCTCTTATGGCTAATTGTTGACAGGGGCGGAGATGGAGGATATTCTGGTACACAGGGTGTCTGGCTCGACGACCCTGGTGATCCCCGGCGGAAAGAAGCTGAAAGCGAGCTCGATGAGGCAGTGCTGTGAATGCGATTTCCAATTGAGGGGCGTTTCTTATTATCCTGGTCGGCTGCGGCTCGTCGCATGGCCATTCCTTGGGTTAGCGAACCGAAGGATTCTATTTCGGTTTGCACGGGCTTAAAGGCAAACTCCCAGTCCTGGACAACCTGTTCCATGGCTGGTGGTGGAGAAGGGAACCCCTCTTCTTCACAATAAGTGTGAAGCACTGTGTAATAGTGCGCAAGCATGCGGTTTTGGATCTCGACCTGTGCTTCAAGAATGAATGGCGTCAGGGAGAATATGAGAGCGATCAATGTTGGAAGTCGCTGTCGTAGATCATGGTCGGCGGCTTGGTAAGCCTAGATCGCGATTAGTATTTCTTCTGCTATAAGTAGTATTGGGTATTTGCTATTTGTACCTCTTTGTTATTGGCAAGTTCGATTTCCGCTTTGGCGAGGCTCACATTTTCGCGATCGGTGCGCTTCTGCTTTTTCATGAGGCTATCAACACGTCCTTGGGAGATTTCAAAGTCGGTCTAGAGATTGGGACGTTAGCCACAACTAATCTACCAAGAGCTCTCATTCTTCATTGTGTACCTTCTTGTCATTTCGCTTTTTGATCGTCTTTTTCATCGGCGCAAGGGATTCCTTCGCTTGCGCAGCCGGCTGTGACATGCGAGTATCGACAGCACCGAGCTCATCCACGAGATCGGTACGTAGCTCGTCATATTCCTTCCGCAGTCTGTTGGTCCGTGCTAATCTGCCGGGGTCTGTATCAACGGCTTTGTGGTTGGATGGGGTTTCTGAGGAGCCAATGATAGGACCGTAGAGGCCGTCGAATTCGTCGACAAGGCGACTCTGGTAAGTTGCGATAGAGACCCAAGCATCACGCCAGGCTTGAGTAGATTCCACGATCTGATGAAATAACACGGATCAGGAAATTGGACAGAACGCGCGTCATCGGGGTAACATTATCTACCTTGCCTAGGAGCATATCTGCATCGTCGAAATCTTTTAGAAGCACAGCAATTTGGCTGTCATCTGCAGACGACTTTGTCGTCATGCGACCAAAGCGCCTTGACATGTTCTGCATGTTGGGCGATGGGGGGAGCTGTCAGAAGCTCGAAGGAAACACGAAACGGGGTTAGAGGAGTGATAACAAAAGTATTACCACACGGGCACAGCGTATGAAACGAGAATAAACTTTAATTCAAGTCCACATTAATCAATCGCAGATTTCAAATATTTCAAATGTAGGTACTCCGTAAAGTGATGAAGAAGGAAAAGAAACTTGGAAGGGGGGCTTAACGTCCCTTCATGACACATAACTCTCGGCCCCAAAGTGTTTCAGCCTTTCATGCGGCTCTCTCGCCCCACGGCCCCCCTCTCCCCCTCCAGAGCCATTGACATTTCGGGAAAGAGAGGATGTTCATCAACGCCCAGAACCCCTTCTCCACTCTATATCCATCCATGGTTACATACAACATAGTAGATATCAAATCAGGGGTAAAGGCCATCTTATTTATCTCATACATCGATACGAATTCTTATGATAAGAATAGTAAGCATCCCATTTTAAGGGAGCAATTAGCTTGTGCTCGAGTCATTGGAATTACGATGTAAGAGAAGTTGAGATAAAATGTAATCCATATGTACCTACCTAACCTTGGAAGGTATATAGTTATGGATGAATGGACTTAACCTATTGATATCAGAACTTTATCTGATCTCACGTGACCCAAATCTACCTCGTACCTTGGTAGGGGGCAAACATTACTCTTAAAAAAGTTTCATTGTAGATATTGTTTTGTCTTAATCATACATAATTCAATCATAACTAGTTAACTAGTTATTCAATAGTATGTTGGATGTCAGGCAACAGTGAGTGGACCCGAAACAGCCCCTTCTATTCCGGGTATAGCGCCCTCACCCTTGCCCCCGTTTGGGTTTAGCGCTTCGGCCATTTGTACCGGCTATATATAACCATCCGCCCTATCCTTAGTGGACGACTTATGTTGGACTTATGTTGTATATATTGTAGAAATATAGAACAAACTCATCCATATTCCTCAAAATTGGGATTATTTGGGCTATAGGGTGGATCTAGCCCAGCTCGGCTGTAGCGTCGGGGAAAATTGTAACTCATCTCAAAACTTCGATGTAAGTCTAGAATATGGCTCTCTCGGCCCTTTGCTTGTTGTCGTTGCCTTGCTTTTCAGGTCAGACAGCCTAGTCTTCCGCTCAAATATCCAGGGTTGATTGGGACCATTTAGCTACTGGAATTCAAATTCAACTCGCAAGGACTCAAACTTTGTTGGTGACATCCATAGCAAACATATGGGATGGAGAATTTCCAATTCGTACCAACCTTGAAGTTATTGCATATCCCATAAACCTGTGTATTGTATATCATGAAGTATATCATGAAGTGTACTATCATTAACTATGCGGCGACTTATTTCCTGGGTAAAATCCACATTGTCCTACTTGGCTCAAACATCCACTGTATCCATCTTCAACAAACCTTTCTTCCACCATTTCTCCTCCTCTTCCACAGCCGTTATTCGACTCTTCGCCTGCCGGAATCCATGCCCCTCTCCTTGGAAAACCACCAACTTAGGATGACGACCAGCCTTCGTCATCATTTCGACCATTTCCTTTGCTTGGTTCATAGGGACGACCGAATCCTCGTCTCCTTGGAGCAACAATAGTGGCGCAGTGATTTTATCTGCCTTGAGACAAGGGCTGCGTTCGCGGAAAATGCGGTTTTTCTCAGCTTCATCCGCACTAGGATCAAACAGCAAGGCGAATGCGTAATGGCTCTCGAATTTATGAGTATCCTCACAGAGAGCCTTGACATTTCCTATGCCGTACAGAGAGTTACCACCAGCAAAGAGATTGGGATAGTCGCAAAGAGCTTGGAGTACGATGTAGCCGCCCGCACTTTGACCACGAACACCGACTCCATTTTGGTCAATTCGGCCAGCGGATGCTAGGTATGACACACAGCTAGCAGCATCTGCTGTATCAAGGATTCCTAACGATATTTGGTTAGCATTGGGAGGGAATTAATTTGCTATGAGAGGGGTAGAATTCTTACCCCATTGCCCATTTAAATCATCCCGATACGCTCTGCCATATCCGGAACTGCCTCCATAGTTTACCCAAACAACAGCATAACCTCGAGAAGTCCAGTATTGGTCCGTAATACTCAGACCAGTTCCGGTTTGGGACGTTGGTCCACCATGGACACAGACGATCAAAGGTGGCAGCGCTCCAGAAGGTGGCTGATAATCCGGGTTCTGAGGTGGGTAGAAGATGGCATGCGCCACTCCTTCCAAGCTCTTACCGTGGACCCTTGGAAAAGAGATATGCTCTGGCTTGGAAACAAGAGAACTTGGCATGGGGAGCTCGGAAGCTACCTTGAGTGTATTGAGCTTGATGGTGTCGGCAATGTCCAATGTAAAAACAGTGCTGAAGCTTGTCTCACTAGATCCGAGAAGGGCTATTTTGGTGGTCGACAGGGGATTATCTGCCAAAACAATCGTGTCTGTCACTGGCAGATTCATGTCTTGCCAGGAGTCGTTCGACAAATCTATCAGTATGAAGCTCCATCGAGCATTCTTTGTGTACGACGCAATCATTGAAGTTGGAGTCAAACACACGTATGTGCAGCTAGCATAGGAAAATACAGGTTAGCCATCAAGTCAACAGCTGCCTGGAGTCGAAATCAAACGTACTTTCCTAGACGCCAGTCTGGCTGTGAAAATTCCACTTCTTCCAGGCCATGCAGGGCGATCCGTTGGCATTCCAAAATGTCGACGTGAGACCGATAGAGCTGCCAATACCCCGAACAATCGCTCGTGAAGTACAATGTGTTATCAAAGCCCCACCGTGGCTGGCTAACACTTTCTTTCTTAGGCACACCAGACACGTGGTTAACATCTGTGACCTGACCATTATCCCACTTAGCCACATACAGGCGGGCTCCTGTCCAAGGCATGTCTGGATGAGACCACTGCATCCAGCATATCCTGCTACCATCAGGGGAAAACTGGGCAGCGCTGTAGAAGTCGTCACCAGAGGCGACGTTGACTATCTCTTTAGATTTCAAGTTTACCGCGACTAGTCCGTTCCGAACTTCCGACGGCAAGGGCTTGGAGTGGTCCTCTTCGATCGCCAGGACCCATCCGGAATCTGCCTGACCATCTGGCAAAGAACCTATAGCGGAGGTGCATGCATAGCGGAGAGCAGTGCTTGTATTGGTAATCTGCTCGACATGACCTGTGGAAGGATCAAGTTTATGCAGATCCTGTGTCTCCCGATCAGAAAAGATGACATGTCCATTGAAAGCGATCATGGACGCGCCGCCATACTCATGAACTTTGGTGCGAGCATCATATCTAGGAACTTCTCATTAGATCTGGGTTCATACATGGCTGGATCTTGAGTATGTACTTGGCCGGTAGGATATCTCGTCCTTCTCTGCCAGAGTATTCGACAATGCAGCCTCGTCCCTGCTCTTTGGGTCGACCCTCAATGACATAAACCTTCTCATTGGATGTCTAAAGAGGTCATTAAAACTTCCGATATAAGTGATCTTGGTATTCATTGAACATACGGCGATGGATTCAAACTGAACACCGTCAGCGCCAAGCAAAGTAGAGCTGATCGGGCTCTTCCATTGGCCGAACGGAGCTGTGACGGGAGTACCCATGGAGATCGTAGTAGCTGGATTATTTTGCTGGATTGGTCGAGTTGGTACTCTTGTTGAGTATTGGTATAGGTGTTGACTCTGTGAGGGGAGGTTTGAAAGTGAAAAACTACCCCGCAGAGACTGCAATATTGGTGAGGCTAATCGGGTGTCAGCGGGGATTCAATTGAAATGAGCAATCAGAGTGTTAATTCAGATGTCCCAATATAGAGGAGATATCAATCTATCCAAGTATAACAAGTAGGCTATGATCACTCAACTAACCTCTCACCCGCATCTCTAAATATCCTTTCAAATGTATTCTCAACGTGTCTTTTTCGTATCTTGTTTGGTGTCTTTTAATCCGGCTTTTTTTTTTTTTTTGATATCTGAGCTTACTCTTGGAAGAACTTACACCCAATCCTATTAATGAGGTTCTCATGAGGCGATAACATAAATACCAGTCAAATAGATGTCTTTGTACGTCTACCTATGTTGTAGGTATCTCTCAATACTGATGCCTGAGGCCCATATACTTGGCTCTTCCTTATCAGCTTATCGTGTTTTCCACCTTCAGCACGAGAACGCGACCAAAACTACATTTCGCGACATCCAATGCAGTCATGATCAAATCTGGTGTTCAACAATGCTACCATGATGTCCACGCCGTCATCTTCTGCGCGTCTTCCCCCGACCTCACCGCAGGTCACTGCCTCAGTGGTGAAGTTTCGCTGTCTGTACACTCACGACCTACGCCGCAAATCCAAACGATGGCACGATGGCTACCTACGATATCATAAGTTCAACAAACGTGTCATGGTCTACGATGACCAGGGTAATTTTATAGGTGACCACCACTGGAGATCCTCTGATGAAGTCCAAGATGGCGATGAAATGGAGCTGGACAAGGGAGTACTGATTGAGGTAACTGAGAACATGGGCACAACTGAGACGGACATCACGACCCTTTACGAAAAAAAGAAATCTAGCCAGGGTTCTCCGCAGACCAAAGACCCTGTGTCCCAAGTTCCCCCGCGCCTCTACCTACACAGCCTCCGCCTCAGCTTCCACACCTCTTCGTTCCTCCGCTTCCTCCGCTTCCTCCCAGTCATTTCGCTCTCTTAACGATTTGCTGGGCATTAAAAGAACTCCAATTGGGCATTTGGTGTCTCCATATGAGTCAAGGAATCCTCCACAACCAGCGGCCTCTAGCATTCAGGAACCTGAGCGCCCACCGAAGCGACAGAAGACATCTTCGGTGGTGAGTCGAAACGCCGAGAAAGGCTCGCGGGCTCAGAGTGAAGTCATTGATTTGACGGGTTCAACCAAATCAAACCAAGGACTCCCTGCGAAGCCAAGGTCAAACCAAGTAGCAAAAGAACTACCCAGAGCCGGGGGTGATTCTACGGCCGATGTACTCTCGGGAGACTGTGAGCAGAGGGTGATAGTTCCGCCAAAGCAAACCTGGCCACAAAGACCCAGCCCTCCTTCAGTTGCAAGTGTCTCGGTTCCAACTAGATCTGAACCGACCTCCAGTCTACTACCACCAGAGGAGGTAGTCCACACAGCTACTAAGGGTGTCCAACCACCAAGACCCCTCGGCCCCTCGTCGAAGGGTCTTCTTCCCACTTTACCCGCAGAAACAGAGATAGCCGGCCTTCAAGGAAACCTGGGCGTAGAGCAACCGTCAATCGGCCGCCAAAATCAGTCCAGAGCTGTATCACGTCCGATCCCACCACATAGGTCTGACCCACCGACGGTTTCAAGAAGCTCTCTCCCAATTACAGCCAAACAGTCGTCTACTGCACAATCTACACCACAGCCTCCAGTGCGTGTATTGAACAATTATGAGAAGCCTATTGAATCTGCGAACAACCAAACTTCCACCAACGTTCCACCTCCAGCCAACGTTTTATCTCCAACCCATGTTCGACCCCCAGTCAATGTGCCACCCCCAGTCAATGCTCCACCCCCAGTCAATGCTCCACCCCCAGTCAATATCTCATCTTCAAGGAAGATGCCACCTCCATCACGTCCATCCTCCGCAGTGAACCCTGGAGCACCTACGACAGCTCTACGCATGGGAACCGGAAAGCCACGCAGGAAACTGATGTACAGTGCTCTATTGCCCGGCACTTCACGAACTCCATCGCCGGCGACCTCAGATACACCGCCTGCTATTACAACTCGTGAACCCGCCACAAATATCCTGGAGCAACAGTTAGTATGTACCCACCCATTAACCAAGTTTGTGATATTGATTTTTGTATAGACTGGCCGCCGGTCCAAGTGATTCCTCAAACTCAAACGAAGAGTTTTTGCCCTCAACATCTACACAATTTATCTTCGACGAGATGATAGATGAATCAGGGTTCAAATCATCCTCCACGATCAAAAGGCTAACTGGGAAAAGATCTCTTGATTCACCCTTGCGCAAATCGATATCCGACCCAACTACATTGACTGCCCACCAGAATCGGACAGGAGGATCATTCCACGCGGCCAGCAAGGAAAATGAGCCCAGAGAGCAAGGCCCATGGACATCTGAGGCATTAGATTTGTTTGACTTCTGGCCTGCTGGACGAGCAAAACCAAATGTCTGAAATATGTGATTCAGTCTGAAACCCGTGCGGGAGGTTCTAAGCAACAACAAGCAGAGTGCAGACCAACGTGATAACGCCAAGGTCAAGCATCTTTCAAGGCTCTTGTACCTAAAAAGGTCTACTGTCTCGTGAGAAGCAACCGCCGAATCGCCGAAACTACCCCTCGTTGACCGGGCTGTTCTCGAAGCCAAGGCAGTGAGCAGCATTCTATGTTGTCCCTGCGAGAGACGGATTATTGTTCGGATTCCATTCACAAGTGCGCACTTTGGGAGCATACTCCTTGCGATTCCTGTCGTGGAAACCCACGCATTCGTATCTGCAGGCCTCCCCGCCCCTCTCCCCCCACAATCATCCCTGACGACTTCAATGACACGAGCGAAAATATGATAGAAAAAAGATACCCATTTGTGATGCAAAATATATCTGTACCTAGCTCAACTCAGAAATGAACGAACCTAAACCCTCTTCTTAACCAAGACCCCAGAAAGATAAGGCATGACAGACCACTCAAAATTCCTCTCCAACTCAACCTTCTCCCATCCCCCATCCACATCTGCCACAGCCCTCAAAACCGCCTCGGTATCCCTATCCAAACAACAATCCCCAAGAAACCATCTCCACCCAAGAACCTGATAGATACCCTGCACAACCCGCCCAACAATCGACCCCTTCGCCCGCCGCCACGGGTTAACAATGTGCTCCGTAATAAGCAACCGCCCACCAGGCCTAAGCATCCCATACAACTCACCCACCGTACGCTCCATCTCAGGAACCGAGCATAGCACCCGCACGCACAGGATCGTGTCGAAGACGCCCGCGCGCGGGTCGGTATCGTACGCATCCACGACGCCCGTGCCCGTCGCCCGCAACGCGGGGATCAGTTCGTCGGCTGCTACGCCTGTAGGCACGATGTGGTACTTGGGTGAGATGTTCTCTGCTAGCGCTTTTTCGCGGATCGCGGAGTGGAGGCTTTTGCATGGCTCGGCGCCGTATAGGGCTGTTATGGCTGGTGAGGTGAGTAGTGGCATCTGTGTGCCTGTGCCTGGTCCGATGTCGAGGACTATTCCTGAGGCTGTGCGGAGGATTGGAGGGATTAGAGCTGAGGAGCCGACTGGCTCCGGGATTTCTTGGTTGTTTGGGTCGGAGGACATTTGGCGAGATGCTGTGGTGGTTTGGTTAGGATTTGTGTTGCTTATTTGTATTGTTTTATATTGTTTATGGGGAGTTGTTCTTGTTCCCTCGTTGCTTTTGCAGAAATTGCTAATAGCACAGACTCCGCTCTGGGTTTGTTGATGATAGATGTGGTGGCTGGGACTCACAGGTGAACTCGATCCAGAATCTTCCGAATGCTTCATCGCGGAGTCTCCGCGTCTGAGTAATTGGGGCAAAGAGCTGGCCATTTTTGAAGACTGCTTCGGCACATACTCGGATGTAGTCTGTGGCATTTTAGTTAGTAATGAGCTAGTTTATAGGTCAAAGATGAGAAATTGGTGCTGGTATGGGGAATGTGCAGTAATATATCATATGCCACCATATATCAGACAGAATACAGAGAGTCCACCGGTGTTGAATTCGATATATTGAGATCAAAGCCATTCGGTGTCTGTTCGGCGTCTGTACTTACGTGACATCGCCCAAGTCATGATATGTGCTGGCTCGAACATTCCGAGCATTCGGCCGATGAACGGTGGGGGTGTTTCGGTCGGCATGATGATCAGAGAAGTTCGAAATCTGATTTTATCAACTCCAATGAATGCTAAGAGGAGAGAATACAGGAGGAGGATTATAAAGTTAGGGCGCGCATGTCGCTCACGTGACTCGGAGGCTTTTTGCGGGGATTTCGGCGTTTGAAATCACAGTCACACATCTGTGATCTGAAGATCACTAATGAATGAATAATGAATGAATGATGATCATTCCAATGGATGATTGTATCATCCAATGGCCAACAAGCCTTACGAAATCAAAAGTAATCAGGCATATTCCAACAAAATTGAACATAGACTAATATCTAGCATCCTGGTCTGGCGCAAATTGCACGAATACTCAAAAGATGATCACACCGGAAGAAAGAGCGGAACCTATCAGTAGAAAGACGACGGCATGTAGTGGTCACAGGAATTATCAACATAAAATGAGAATATAGGAAAATAGCAGACTCAGATTGGGAGACACGTTCCAGCAAAACGTAATGATTGAACGAAGGACAGAGATAGAGACAATAGGAGAGTTGAGATCCGTAGGAAGGAAAGAAAGAAAAAGATCGTAGGTGAAGAGAATGCGGAGGAAGTTGGGGTGAAACTACTCGAGAAGTTTCGAAGCCCAAGAATCCAGAATCACCAAAGCGTACATAATTCAGTTGACGTCTCGGTTTTGAGGTATGAGGTATTCCACGCTGGTGTGAAAGAAGTTAAAAGTCGGAAACACTATTAGAAGGGTTGCTGGTTGGACAAGAGACAGAAGAAAAGGAGACTCGTCGTCATTATCTTTATAAGTGACTCGAGTCTGGGTTGAGGGCCTGCCCACAAACCCTACAAACAAACGCCAATTTCATAGGACGATGTTCAGTGATGGTGGGGTGAGTGGATGCGGTTGACCCTCGGACTGTACCGACTGGTGCGAGAAAGAGAGCCAACATCGTGTTTTCCATCGCAACAGGCGCGGACATTCTCGAGTCGGTCTTGATCCTGGGTTTCGGCCACATGTCCCAGGTCGTCGGCACTTCCTTGGCCATGAAGACTTTCGTTGTGGACACTAGGGGATTGACCGTGCCGTCCCTTCAAGCTTGCGATGGATCCCCGAATCGAACTAGAGATGGTACTAAGCCTCGAGGAAGAACGTTGGCGATCATCGGGAACTTGTAATGACGAGTTTGGCATAGGTGAGCTGAGCGCCGGTGATGCACGCCCACCGAGAGTCCCGGAAGACCGCATGGACATCGCCGAGGCCGCTCGCCGCTGTTGCTTAGATACTTGGCGAGCGGTGCGGCTATTGTAAGAAGAGAACGACATTCGTGCTGTCTGACGAGAACTAGACCGGAAGCTAGGGGGGTTGAACTCGTTGATATCGTCGAGGGTTACGCCGTTATTTTCCTCACAGTTGTCGTTGGTCTCCCTTAAAAGAAGGTAAGACAACGCGTTAAACCATGTCTCGTGCCTCTGGCTTGTCGTAGCCGTAAACCGAACTCGTCGGCCAGGACTGACAACTTCCAAGCTCCTGCAGTGAAGACCGGGAGGATACGGGTTGTCGTCGGCGACCACTCGAACAGCCTCAATAGGCACACTCTTGGTATGGAGCTCGCTCTTTCCGGCAGTTTGTGGGTCCTGCGTACTCCAGTACAGAGTACGGGTGTATGGGTGAACCCAGAAGTATCGTCTGTGCCGTGTTGTGGACATATCCGATGAGCCGGTCTTTCGAGTGTACTTCCAAAGGAATTCACCAATCATGGTTTGAGTAATCGCCTGGATCATGCGCGGATCCGTATTAGGCCCATAGCCGCCAGGCATGGGGCCAGCGTGAGGCGCCATGTTGAAACGCTCCTCTAGCTCAGACGCGAAAGACGACACTGAGGATCGTCGAGACAACTGGCTTTGACTTCCCCTCCTCATTCTGGCCTGGGAGGAACCGGTTCTTGAAGAGCTAGCCCGCGCAGCATGTTCGCTTGGCGTAAGGGGGCGCTGGGAGTTCATGCGGTAGGCGGAGGCAGGTGCTAAGGGAGGCCCCATGACAGAGGTAGGAGATGGCGGAGCCAAGTCGGTGGGCCTCTTCTCGGCTGCCAGGATAGCTTCCCGGTGATCGGCAGGCAGCGGGGGATGACTGGCACCAGACGTCTGACTGGCGGCACTGGGAGGCCGGCGGGAATTTGGAGTTGTTGACTTGGCAGACTGAATTTGCGAAAGGCGAGGTCGTGTCGGGGCCTTGGGTGTCACGTAAGGGGATGCGGAAGTTGTAGTGACCGAGGCAATCTCTCGTGAGTTGTCAGTCACCTGGCTATCGGAAGATAGCGGGCGTGCAGACACACGATCCATAAGAATTTGATCTATTTGTTTGGAGGACAGGATAGTCTGGGATCCTTGGTCCATGCTCACTGAACTAGATTGCCGTCTAGCAGAGCGAGCAAGGGCGTTGCCAGATATATCGTTCAAGGCCAGTCCGGTACCAACGTGCTGATCACTATTGGCTGTACTGGTACGGCTGCGAATAGCGTCCGTAGGTTGGTCTTCGTGGACAATCACAGCGGGCCCTGCGGCCTTTGACTCAGTCGACTCGGTTTGAGTAGATAAATCTGCCACCGTAGGGATGACAAATGGCATGGACTTCGCTGGATGAGTCTCCACAGACCGCACAGTGGAGAATGACAATGCCGGCGTGGGCGCAAGGCGGGGCTTTGGAACAACAGGATCCGTGTATGCTGGATCGAGGCTAGAGATCGTCAAATTCGGTACCTCACGTTCACGCTCAACGTGTTTGATCACATCGACGTATTGAATGACAGGTGGTTCAGGTTCAGGTACAGTTGCTTTGATCGGTTCTGTAGTTTGGGTGGTGATCGAGGAGAATGTCAATTCGGGCACCTCACGCTCACGCTCGACGTGCTTGATAACATCAACGTACTCAATCACAGGCGGTTCTGGTGCAGGAACAGTCGGTTTGACGGGCGTAGTGGATTGAGTGGTGATCGAAGAGAATGTCAATTCGGGCACCTCAAGCTCACGCTCGACGTGTTTGATAACATCAACGTATTCAATCACAGGCTCTGCTTTGGCGATCGTTGCCTGTACAGGGGCAGTGGAATGGTTGTTGATGGAAGAAGATGTCAACTCAGGCACCTCGCGCTCGCGCTCAACGTGCTTGATAACGTCAACGTATTCGATGATCGGCGCCGCTTTAGCAAGAGTTGCGTGCACAGGCGCAGTGGACTGAGTGGTGATAAGAGAGAAACTTGACTCTGGCACTTCACGCTCACGTTCAACGTGCTTAATGACATCAACGTATTGAATGACAGGCGGTTGCGGCTCAGGGACAGTTGCTTTGACTGGCTCGGTGGTTTGAGTGGTGATGGAAGAAAAGGTCAATTCGGGCACCTCAAGCTCGCGTTCGACGTGCTTGATTACGTCGACGTACTTGACGATAGGCTCTGGCACAGCAAGCGTTGCCTGGACAGGGGCAGTTGATTGATTATTGAAGGACGAGAATGTCAATTCGGGGATCTCGCGCTCGCGCTCGACGTGTTTAATTACGTCGACGTATTTGATGACGGGTTCTGGCTCAGGGACAGTTGCCTGGATTGCCTGGACAGGTACTGTCGACTGAGCAGCGACAGACGAGAAGCTCAACTCTGGCACTTCAGGCTCGCGTTCAACGTGCTTGATCACGTCGACGTACTTGACGATAGGCTCCGGCACAGCAACTGTTGCCTGAAGAGGGGAAGTTGATTGAGTCGTGATGGAGGAGAAGGTCAGCTCGGGCACCTCCGGCTCGCGTTCCACGTATTTGATAACATCGACATGCTTGATGATTGGTTCAGGTATGAGAACCGTTGGTTGAATGGGATTAGTGGTTTGTGATGAAATTGAAGATATCGTCATTTCCGGCACTTCCGGCGGGGGCAGCTCATGCTTCACAGGTGTAGTGGTCCCTCCGGCGATGTATGAGACACTAAGATCAGGTCGCTTGGGTGTAGAGGGCGTAGTTTCTTGGGAAGAAACATCCGCCATGCCCATATCTGGTAGATCAGGTGTTTCCTTCGCCTCCTCGGCGATCTCCCGGTCTGGTTGGGTATCCTGGGGCGCAGCGAGAGCATGCGGCAGAACAGCTCCTGCAGCAAGACCAGCAGCTCCAGCAATAATGCCAGTGCTGATAGAAGGCGTGTGTCCCCAAGGTTCAGTCATAACACCAGAATCGACCATTGCGGGCTTGGGTGGTGGTGTATCCAACACTGCATCGGAGGGTCTTCGTGAACCCGACGCAGCTGCCATGCGCGGCGTCGAAGCCTGGGAGGTTACTTCATCGTCCTCGGCGCTGTCGAACTCTGCAAGTTCGGCAAAGAGGGGCACTGGCGCAAAGCTGGGTGCGGCGGATTCGCGTGAACTCGAAGGTCGACTGGTCGATGCGAATGTGGCCTCTCCAGATGGACGAATGCGTCTTGAGATGCTGCGTTTGGACTTGACACGGGGTCGGGAGGTGTTCATTTGGCTCGGAGAACCGAACGCTCTATCATATTCTTCCTCATCGGAAGATGCAGAGGCAGTGCTATTATATGAGGTGCGATCGCGAGCTTTAGCCATGACCAGGGAAGAAGGCACTCGGCAGCGAGGAGTTGTCTGTAGGTTGTTTTCCGTCTCGGTAAGATCTGCCGAATCACTGCTGTCATCCGCCATGCTTTCAACGCCAGTCTGGAATGCTTCGCTCTCCGTTGCGGTTGCCCGCTCATTCGCTGTTTCAAATCCATCTTCCGCCTCGGTAGCTGTCTGGTAGACGTCGCTAGGTCCATCGGGAGAGACCGAGCGAGGGCGGCCCCTAGTATACATGTCCTTGGTTTGGATCTGGGTAGGACTGATTTGGCCGGCATTGTCTTCCCAATCGGTGTCTTGGAGCTCAACAAACGATTTCTCTTTGCGGCCTGCGCCCAAAAGATCTGGACGGGGAGGCTTTCGGGACGAATCTGTCTTTGTCTTCTGGCGTTTGCTGGCTCCGTTTGGCACAGTGCTCTCACGGCGGCGTTGTTCAACTTCATCCCGAGCATCTTGCAACATGCGCTTGAGTTCAATTTTTTCGGTCTTCTCGCGGTGAATTGTGCTCTTAAGGTTCTGGATCATGCGATGAGCATGACCGAGCGAGCTCTTCAAGGTTTCCGATTCAAGATGGCCATGTCGAGGAGTGAACTTGTTAGGGGATGGTGGCGGAGAGCTTTCAGGTGTGATATTCTGGGGCTCGTCGCCCTCGTTATCATATGAAATATCCCTCGAGCCCTGGTTTTCATGGTCCCGGAGCCTCATGGCAACTGCCTTAGCCAGTTCTTGATTTTGAGACGTCATTTCCATCAGTTTCTTTTGGAGCGCGGACTTTTCCGCATCGCCAGAAGTCAAATTCCGCCTCAATAAGTGAATTTCCGCATCATTGGCCTTTTGCGTGAGGGTGTGATCCTCGAGTAACCTCGCATTGGCTTGCTTTTGCTCCTCCAGCTCTCGTTCCATGGCGCTTTTTTCCGAATTTGACAGGGTTATCGTGCTGTTGAGCCGTTGTTCACGTTCCGCGGCATCCCTTGCAGCTGCCATTAACTCATGCGCTTGAGTTTCCAGCGCCCAGTTTTCGTCCTTGTAACGTTGCTCGCTGTCATCGAGTGCCCGGATTCTTTGTGCATACCCCTCTGCCTCCAATTCAAGTCGCGACTTTTCCAGATTAACAAACTTGAGTGTCTCATCCCGTTCGGCGAGAAGACCTTGCAGTTGGCGGACCTGTGCCAAAAGCGAAGTCGAGATCTCTGTCGCAAATTCGATATCGTGGACACGGTTTGACGGTTGGTTGCGCTGCTTGCGAGAGGGAACGCTGACTTTGCTAGGGGAATTTGTGGCTTGACTGGCAAACAAAGCGGGGCTTAGGGGTGACTATCAGAACTCGAAGTTAGTTTGGCTAGAAATCGGACCAGAGTCAGATGTAAGAGCCAAGCTGTACCTTTTGATCGAAAGATGGCGTCACAAGCTGGGCATCTTCCTGGCCTCCGGCAAGGCGTTTGGGTGCCAAAAATGCACGTGCCGACTCACGGCCGATCTCATTATACTCCTTCTCCAAATCTGCAAGTTTGCGTCGCAGTTCCGGGCCCATCTCTCCCTCATTTTGCTCCTGCTCGACCTCCTTCAACTGCTCGGATAGCTGTCGCTGCTGATCGATAAGGGCCGTTCCTAGCCTTGAAGCCTCCTCCAGTCGACGCTCCGTCTCTGCCAAGTGGGCCTCGAGGGCTCGTTTAGCCTGTGCTGGTGAAGACGCATTCAGGCTGTATAGCTGTGTATCAAAGCGATTGGAGTCGCGAGGGGCAGCTGGCCTTCCGGAATTCGCAACGAATGGGTCTTCCATGGACGCAAATGACCCGGTGGCCTCAGCGTTGGATGCGGTCATTATCTGGAAATCGGGGGCCTCAAACTGCATCTATATCCCCTTAATGACGAGGACACAGTTGCCGTTGGGATATCGGGGACTCGTGGGTTGATCTTGTTCCGATTCTAGGCCGCGGGCATCATCCGAATCACCGCACTCGTCAAAATTGTTGTCGCAAGATGACTTCCGTTGAGATAGTTGCCAAGCCGACCAGCGACCAGAGGTTGTTGGACGGTTTTCGAGATTACCACACGCTAATGTTGATGCTGATGCTGATGCTGATGCGATGGGTGTGGAACAGCACACCGTTGAAAGTTGATGTAAAGGAAGAGGGGGAAGCCCACACGATTAAAAATAACAAAAACCGAGGACCTTCGGACGAATCAGTGAGCTCCCAGTCAGATTGGCCACCTGGGCAGACACGCGCGTAGAGATGCAACTAACCACAACAAAGTGCTCGGGATCTGCAGGACCTCTGGAATCGGCCTCAGTGGGTTGAATAAAGGAAGGACAAAATAACAAAGGGAAAACAAAAGGAGAGCTAACTAGAAAAAAAGAAAGAGAGAAAAAAAAAAAAGAAAGGGAGCGTAGGGAGTGATTGGATAGGTCGAGTTTGAATGACTCGGCGGGGAAGAAAAGGGAAGAGAAGAACAAGAGTGAGCGAATGTGCTGTTGTGTTATTGCCAAATGGCGCCGGTGTTTGAGATTCACAATCGATAATCACCCCAGACGGGGAGAGACGAAACTACGATACTAGACTCTATTCTTGGATCTAAATTGGGACCTTCAAAATTACTATAAAACTGTAAAAACAATAGGAAGTGCTGATTCGACAGGTTCCTGCGTGTGTTTTGCTGCGATTTTCGCTATCAAACGCGTCCCAAAGTGAGGAGGTGGTTTGTATTGTTTGCATTTGTCAGCTTAGTCATTTCTCGACGGTTCGATATCCAATCTTGGCAATGCGCGCATCTTTACATCTTTACAACCTTTACTTTAATATAATACACGACTGAACCTCACCATTACCCAACACACAATATGGTCAAAGAAACTGAAGTCACAGACTCTGTGCCCCAAGTCGCTTTCAAGAAGCGCTCCAAGGGAAAAGCCAACTTTCGCAAGAAGCCCGCGACGCCACTTCCTGCTTCTGACTCCGACTCCGACTTTGTATCATCCGATGACGACGAAGGGCGACGGATCAAGAGGCGACGCAAGAACGCAGCTGTCACCGCATCATCCACATCAAATGCGACAAGGAAACAGCGCACAGAAAACGGACCTACCTTCGCGGTTCCCGCTCCCTTGACCTCCAGCAACGATGCCACGAAAGCTTCCAACTGGTACGATGAGAACCTGAGCGAGAAGAGCTTATTGGGCACAACTCGGGAAAAACCAGTCTCCTCTACCTCACAGTCGGATGGAATCTACAAGGGCGCCACCAACTATCAATCTTTCATTCAGAAGAACCCTGATGCGCCGGCAAAATTCGGTCCTGTCAAAGCTGCGACCAACGTTAGGACTATCACAGTAACTGATTTTGCCCCCGATGTATGCAAGGATTGGAAACAAACTGGCTACGTGAGTTCCTCCCTCGCCTCCATCTGTCTATGGTCAATCGATACTAATTCATCTAAATGTAGTGTGGCTTCGGAGAAAGTTGTAAATATCTCCATTCTCGGGAGGCATACAAGGCAGGATGGGAGTTAGACCGTGACTGGGAAGTCAACACCAAAGGCAAACAAGTAAGCGGGCAAGTGGTTTCACAGCGAAAAGGCGCAGGCAGAATCACCGAGGGAGACGAGGATGATGACGAGGATGAATTGCTAGAGAGCATTCCATTCGCCTGTCTCATCTGCTTGAAACCCTATCAAGAACCTATCATCACCAAATGTGGGCACTATTTCTGTGAAGCCTGTGCCTTGCAGCGGTATCGGAAAACCCCGTCGTGCGCTGCCTGCGGCGAGGGAACTGGGGGTGTCTTCAATGTCGCAAAGAAATTGAATACTTTGCTGAACAAGAAGCGGGAACGTGCGCGCAAGATCCGAGAGGAGGCGATTGCAAATGGGGAGGAGGTCAGCGATGAAGAGGGTGATGATAGCGATTAAAGGGGAAAGATCTCTCTGTATCTCTCTGTGTAGCATAATATGAACCAAAAAAGCAGCTGGACTGCGACACTTGTCCCCTGAGAACATTTGAATATATCATAACTTCTCGATTTCACTGTTGATTATCTCCATGACCTCAACATTCAGTATTTCACATGTGTTTACAACATACTCCGTAGACGAGGAAGCATAGCATGCAAATTAGCTGATTCCAGGACAACGTTGTAGTGTATAAAGTAGAAGTGGGCCTGGTAATATTTTGATTTTGTAGCAAGAGTGAGTGGCACGCTATAACTATATATAAGTCTCTACTTGGGGTTCGTGTGCCACGGGCGTGTCCTATCCAAGTAAACCATACAACTATGACAACCATATGTTGTACGCTAGTCCAAGCCAAGAGTAAACACCGAGATTAGAAGATCAAAGCCAAGAAATAATATCGAACATGCGACATGCAAATGTTCAGCGCAGTCGATATTCCTTAGCGGCTCAATTCTGGGGACATACATTATCCAAAAGACGGTTGACAAAAATACGCTCGAGCCTTCTAAATGGCTCGCTTGAATCGCTTGGACACACCCCGCTTAGGTTAATCAAGACTCGCTAACTAACTAGTTAGTAGTGTCAAGTGCAAACTACGCATACGTGGCGCAACATACTCACTAACATACTACTCCGTACCCTCAGCACATTCATCTCTGTTCCTTGACTTATATTGCACTATCAAGCCTCTGATCCCATGCGCCGAGAGACATTATTACAATACAGATAGATTACAATACCGCTGATCAGCCCATGCTAGTTCTATCACAGCCACACACACTGGACCCTGAATTGTTCAAGAGTCCGTGCCCTATGAAATCATACCTTGGTACCTAGGTATACCCAGGAATGTGAACCGTTCCAAGGTTTCCATGTCTTCCCCAAGTACTCCATACCTCTCTTTGGTAGGCTGTGCATTGACAAAAAAGGATCAAGGCAGCCGACAAAAGGCTATTCTAAACAAACCCCACTTAAAACGAGGGCCTATCGAATAATATTCTAGGTAAGGTGCCTAGTGGAGGGATACGTACCGTACCAGCTTTTCCTATTATAGAAGGTTTTATGTACACCCGGGTTTTAGTTTTAACAGTCCCGCCACGTGCATTTCCGTGGTACAGAAAAGATACGCGTTGTCCCGAGGTCGCCACGGTGGATTCTGGTATCTACAAGTTGAATGTCGTTGCCTACCTAGGTATGTCCATACAAGTTCTACCTATTAGGTACATGATAAAGGTACCTAAATGGGATTGTCTTAAATTTGTCAAGCCTTGATCCCGTCCATCCATGGCTCAAGCGTAAACTTTACGGTTAAAGAGGGGCAAGTGTACACCCCAAGCCAAGCTTTTTTGGGGTTTCCCCCAACCAAAAATCAAATCAAATTAAATCAAAAATCAAAAAAATCAAAAAAATCAAAAAACCAAAAAACCAAAAAACCCAAACGCCCCTTGGCATCAAACTAAGGGCGGCTCCCCTGATTCTACGCCTCAGTGGCCAATGATATGACCGTGACATTGTGGAAAAAACGGGGGTCAAGTCCAGGAAGCTCCCTGCTTTTCTTTTATTTCCTTTTCTTTCCACTTTTCACTTTTTGTACGGGGTACACTCCTCCTACTCTTCCTTTAAATCCTTACTACATATCGCCCCCCCCTCGCTCCTCTATTACTCCGACACTGCACCTTCCTTTTGTATTGTTTTGCCTCGCCTCAAATTTTCTTTCAGGGGCCTTGCTTTGGAATTTGCCCTCCTTTTTTGCATCTCTATTATACATTGGAAACAGTACATATCAATGGCTTATTAGTCAATCCTCCACCTTGATTTCACACCTACGGGTACATCTCCGCAGAGTCCCAGGCGTTTAATCCCTATCATTCATCATTCATAATGAAAGGTGGACTCCGTATCGCGGGGTTCTGCGTCTCGTGTCTCGTTCTATTCTCACTATATCTACTCGAAGCGCATCTTCAAGACATTTGCAATCAATATCGCGCTGGCGCATACGTGGTTAATTGGCTAGATCGCAATGACACAACTTCAAGCCCGCATGGTAACACCACGCCGGGTGATAAGGTGATTGTTATGGCGAAGCTGGAAGAAGAGGATACCAAATGGGTGGAAGAAGAGCTTCCCGAGTGAGTGCTTTTGATATCCAACACTTCACTGAAGATCCACGACTAATTGGCGTTCTTTCTCTCTAAACAGCTGGCAACGGGCAATCTACATTGTCAACCCCTCGCATGAAACACGGTTAAACCCCGACGCTCTTACGACCCCGTTCAACAAAGGCCACGAAGCCATGGCCTACTTCACCTATATAATCGAATACTACCACGCCCTTCCCTCCACCATCGTCTTTCTCCACGCCCACCGTGCAGGCTTCCTTATGGCATGGCACGTCGATGCCCCACTCCACGATAATGTCATCGCCATGCGCAACCTAAAACTCGATTTTGTCCAGCAGAACGGCTATGTGAATCTTCGCTGCAATTGGAATCCCGGCTGCAAGAGCACCCACCGCTCGAATGCCCATATCACTGAGCAGATCTGGTCGGATGTCTTCACCAGCACGAGCACGCCTCCTTTAAATACTTCCTCGTCCACGGAGCAGGAATTCGCGGACCAGAGATATCTTCGCAAGCCTGCCGAGATCGGTGCCGCATGCTGCGCACAATTCGCGCTCTCTCGAGAGCAGGTTCAGAAGCGACCGCTAGAGGATTATATCAGGTTCCGGCAATGGATTATCGATACGGAACTTAGCGATGCTTCCTCCGGGAGGGTGATGGAGTTCTTGTGGCATATCATTTTTGGTATGGAAGGGGTATAGTAAGTTATGGTCGGTCATGTTTCGGTGTGATGTTGAACTAACCATCTTTCGCAGTTGTCCCGATGAACAGATGTGCTATTGTCAAGTTTACGGACAGTGTTGAATTTCCCTCTCAGCCTGCATTATCTCCCAAATCCAGCGACAACTCCCAGGCTGGTATCTACATATCGTGGGACACGTGGCGTTACATTTTCGCCTCCCTTTCAGCACACACCATTTTTCGTCATTATGTGCAAATGATTTTTGCGACAATACAAACATCCAATTGGAATTCTGTCGGCCGTTTTGTCGCATAGAACTTGAAGTTCTCAGGGGGCCTTCTTTTTTTAATAAATTATGATTGCGTTCAAGCGCTAAGGACAAAGTTCCTCACGGACATACTCCATCACTTTTATCGATGGACTTCTGGACAATCAGAGTACATGAAATGTATATTCTTACCATTGTCTTTCTCACTTCTCATACAACTCATACCATTCAAACTTTTACATGTTCGACCGCCATTATCAAAATGACTCACTCCATGCTCTAATAACCTTCAGGTGGCCCAAACATCTTATCATTCAAGCTTGATATTTAATTCTATCAGCAAGCTTCAATCCTAACCCAGCGACTAATTACTAGCGACAGTCCGAATACACTGTCTCAGATACCTATCCACCTTTTGCACATCACCAAGACAAGAAACAACGCCAACATACCCATCGGGTCTGACCACCACCAATGCACCCCGTGCCGGGTCTACACCATAGATACCATATGCATCATCTAAAGCCGACCCATCATAAAAGCGCATCTCAGCCTGCCGCTTCACGCACGTCGGCACGTCATTCCATTCAAAGGACCGATGCAATTGGGGATGCAGTACGATCTGCTCAATAATCGACTTGGGAAACTGCGCTTCTAGCAGAGTGACCGCTTCCAGTGTCTGCGCAGAGACACTGCTTCGATCGAGAAGATCGGTCGACGTGAGACACAAGATGCGGAATCGGCCAGTGGAGGGGATATCTGTGGGGTTTTGGTTAGATATGATATTCCCACTCGAAATTTCCATTAGGATGGACATACCGTCATGGATATCTCGCTGCCACCCATCAGCATACCGCAGCAATCGCACATTGAGCAATCTCCGACCTGGTCTCAGAATTCCGGATATGTAGTCCGTTCCTGTGACGGGGTTTGGACTCTTGCTCTTGACATCATCGTCTAGCTCATCTCGGATAACTAGCATGTTCTCCGGGTACTCCACGCCACAGCCACTGGTAAACCCATTGCCGAGCTTGAAGACTTGTTGGAACTCTTCTTGTGTCAGTCCTTCAGTTGCGCCCATTTGTCCGGAGAACATGGAAGAGAATTTCCGGTCGAACTCGATAAGCTGTTGGGCTATTTCATGGCGTTCTGTCTGGTATGTCCCGAGTAATGGGGCTGGGTTGTCGGTGCTTGTGGGTTCTGGTGCCAGCCCATTAATGTGATACATGAGTTTCCAGGCCAGGTTGTAAGAGTCCATCATTGAGACGTTCATGCCTTGGCCAGCCTGGTGGGATGGAAGTTAGTGATATCCTCAAGGGAAGAACTGTTCTAGAAACTCACTTTCGGACTATGTGTATGACAGGCTGTAAATATGATCCATGTTAGTTCGAGGCTATCCACTCTCTTCAAAGCAGACTTACCATCTCCAGCGATGAAAACCCTTGCAACGCCCTTTGCGTCATTCACAATAAACTCAGGCGACACACGCTGGCCAATTTGATACGCAGCCCACCAGTCAACGGCATCCTCCTTGGGCCGAAGAGAGTACGGCTTGATCGCATCGGCAGCTTGTTTCAGAATGCCCTCGAGGGTAATCTTACTTCTTCGCTGCCGAGCATCCTCAGCTTTAACACCCTCTACTCCATTCGGCATTTGATCACTCTCGGGAGCCACATCCTCCGGAACCTGAACATATAACCGAGTGAGGTATTCACCTGTGGAGATCCTCTCTCTGGGAATAATCATCACAGAACCAGCAGGAGAATGAATACCGCAACGACGACGAATATCCGGGAAATCCGTCTCAGCAACCATATCAACAACGCCCCAAATATGATCCAAAGATTCTCCTTCCAGCCGCAACCCCATACACTGCCGAACAACCGAATGCGCCCCATCCGCACCAACAAGATGTTTCGTACGCACAGTCTTCTCAACACCATCCGTAGCCATAGTCACAAGCACAGGGAACTCCGCATCCCCCTCTTCATCAATCTTGACATCATCAACTTTCGTGTTCCGCACAATCCCACGCTCGGAGTACCGCAGCAAATCAGTTTCCATGATACGCTCGATACGGCCCTGGTGGATGGTAGCCTCGTAAGGGAACCGCGCTGGAGCAATAACATCCGGAACGATGGAAGTGCGCTCAATCACCTTGTTTGGGTCCGATGAGGGGTTCCAGAATGCGAATTGCCACATCTGACACGCTTCGTTCTCGATCTCGGTTGAGATCCCAAGTGATTTGAAGACCTCCAGTGTGCGGGGTTGTATGCCGTCTGCTTGTCCGGATTTCAGGGTGCTGGGTTTTGCGTCTATACAGAGGAGGGATGTATCGCTGAGACCATAGCGAGAGAGGAGGAGACTTAGCATGAGGCCTGCTGGTCCGGCCTAGATATTTATATTAGGGTTTTCTTTTTTTTCGTTTGAATGTTGAATATGGAATACCGTGTTGATATTCGGGGTTTTGTTGGAGACCACATACGCCGACCACGACTGCTTCGTATTTGTCTTCGTTTATATCATTGCGCTCGAATGGGGGTGCTAGTCGGGGTAGTCGTGGTGCAAATGATGGTAGGACTCTTAAGTCCCGGGATGAGGAGGAATATTCAGTGAATACAGGCATTGCGTTTCTGATTCTAGAAGCAGGGCTGTTGGAAATTGCTACTCGTAAGACTCCTAGCTATACTTATAATCCATCTTCATGCGGGGGACGGACCTGTTCATTACCCACGATTTATAATGATTAGCAACAACCACGTTTATTGTGATTGAGATTAATGGACGTCTTAAAAATTGGCCTGCATGAGAAGGTGGGGGTTCGGATATATATATATTGGACATATCCAACTTCGGAAAAGAAAGCCAACATCAAGATAAAATGCTATGGGATTAAACAAAATAGCAATTAATGTCCAAAGCTGAGATAAACCGAATCCCACTTACCTTTTTAGGTAGAGATTATTATTCTGAGATATCAATTACTTTGCCTCAAGTTGAGTCAAGTTTCAAGGTGAACAAGCCCATAGTCCCACATAGTGGAACCTCACCCCACAAGATGTTGGGAGTCATTGCTATATAAGCATTTAGTAATTTGAAAGTCCTATGTTGTAGGTAGCTTGATTTGATCGTGAGTGATTGATTGATAGTTCGCTCCAGGCTTAGTATATAATAACAATTTATCCATCAAGCACCCTTGGCCGAGGGTGATGTTAGTTGGATGATCGCTAGAGGCATTTTATAGCATTTTTGGATAAAGAATATTGATTCATTCAAAATGACCATGGCCATATGTAAACAGTAGGATACACTCGTAATTCATTAATCGGGCCCCAACTTCCCCAACTTGCGGCAACCCCGGATAAGCAAAATCCATTCAGCGTTTAGAACTTTTTCTCAAAGTACTGCTCAACTCGGTCTACGAGATCTGCTTTCTTCCCTGCAGTAGCGCGGCCGTGTGAATGCAAGAATTCCTTCAGCACGACCACCGTAAGCTAAACGCGAGTATTAGTTTGGTCAATTACCTGACAGAATTTGAATGCTCACCTTGGAAACAGTGCCCTTCTCATAGCATTTCTTCACTTCGTCTTCCACGCCAGAGGCGCTGTCTTCGACCTTCACTCGCTTTGCTGGGTGCTCACTAGTAGGCTCGGTCTTGGCACCTCGCTTTACCAGCGTAGAGGTGGCTGCTGAACTGCCAAACATCTCGGAGGCTTGCAATTTCAGTTCCTCGGCCCATTTAAGGATGTAGTCACCAGCGCGCTGTGGTTGAGCATCCATGTGGTTAGTAAATTCCCGCAATTTCTAGGACCATAGAAGTAGCTAACCCTGTGAACCTGTCGGTACTTAGGCACGGTCTTGTCATCTGGTGATTCTGGGAAATCTTCATCCAAGGCGATAGCTTGCAAGATGCGATAATGCCATTGAAGCGCTGCAAAATTAGTCAGTATCGTTTTCAAAAAAAAAAAAAAAAAACGTAGGGATAAAGGCTCACAAGGATTCGGGTATTTGGAAGGCTCATATACAGCCTTGGGAAGCTGCAACTGGCGAACAACATCTCGCATGGCGTCATTCAACGCGTCTCCTGCCCGGTTGATAGTGCTCTCTGGATTCTGGCGCACATCATCCGCGAAAGGAAGAGGGATAATCCACATCCCAGGTGGGATTTTCTGCACACCATTCTCGTCGACCTTCTCAGCCCCGGCAATCATCGCAGCTAAAACTGGCGAAGCATTTTTGCGGGGAATGAACCAAACCAAAGCCAGTTTTTCGGAATCGAGGAGTTTCTGTTGCAATGCAGAAAAGACTCGTGTTGAGCCAATGTAGTTCTCTTCAGAGGGATAGATGAAAGAGGGGTGTTTGACATTCGCCCAAATTGGGAGTGCCGACAGTGGCTTGAACCCAATGATACGGATCACAGGGTCACCAAAACTCCTTAGAGCCTGTTGTTCTTCGATGGTGAATGAAACCTGCTCACCACCAAACTTGTATGCCTTCCGAATGTCAGCCTTCTCGATCTCCTGTCCTGTATCATCGGACATTAAAGTTGTGACGCCTTTAGCAATCTGAGCAGTCTCGCCTCCTTGCCAGACGAAGCAACTCCTGGCAGGTTCTTGCTTTTTGAGGAGCAAATATCCATTGACGGATATCTTGAAATCAGGTCCGATCTCAAGTGGTACATTTGAAAATAGCGACCGACGAGGGACAGATCTCGAGTTGATGCTAGACAATAGAGAATTGAGCAATGAGAGTCCGTCGCCTTTAGCTGTCGATGTGTTGGTATCCGGCTGTAGGTATGCCGGGGCATCTCCATCACTTGGCGATGTTTTGTAGATAATGTCCTGCTAGTTGTGAGTATAATCCTATACAACCAAAGCGAATAACCTACATCGTAGAATTTAGAGGTGTCGAACTCGTGATCTGGTTGAGAGATGGGAAACAACTCGATGTTGACACCAAGATCGTACAAGTCCCTTGCACGAACTGTTGCGGCAGACCGCATTCCCTTATTGTCTGCGTGAGGATTATCGTTATCGGTCACGACAAACAGTCGTCCAGATGAAAAGTTTGGAGCCTTCGAGGTAAAGATTTGGTTTGCGCAGAACAGCATATTGGCCATGGAGACTGGTTCCTTGGATGGTTCCAAGACCTGCTGCACGTCATCATCAGCTTCTGCTGGAGACGCGAGGGATCGCAGTTGCTTGACTTCCTGGGCTGATGGAACATCAAGATCAGTGTACAGATAACAGTGAGGATATGAAAGATCTCCTTGGTCATCCTCATTTTCATCATAGAACTTGGACAATTGTGTTCCATAAAGCAAAACACCAATCATGTCATGAGGGTTGGAGATGATGCGCTGTTGCATCAGATGGTATGCACACTTCAAAGCTGCAGACGCGGGTGATTCGTCGCTATGTTTCTTAGGATCAGGCGATGGACGAGGCGTGAGCATCGAGCTGCTGATGTCTATAGCAAATAGCACCGCATCTTTGACTGATTTGAAGCTCTGTATAGGCAACAGTCAACAGTCGGTAACTATAGCTCCGGCTTTTGATACTCACGGTCTCATCGATCTCTTCGTCCTCGTAATTCTCCTCCTCGCGCGTGTAACTATCTTCAGCCATGATTGTAGAGCAGCGCACCTTGGGATATTGGAAATATTAAAGAGTGGTAAATTAACCAAGTCCAAAATATCATTGAGACGCGCTCTCTGACGCGGGCAACACGAAAGTCAGGTGACGCTGATGCCTGAAGCTGCTGACATCCTCCGACGGTGATTGGTTCACTTCCGGTGGGCGGCGGAAGCAAACATGGGGCAACCAAAACCGGATTCAACAACTCCGAGGTCCAAGTTGGACACAGGTTAGAATTGTCAATTGTCTCATTAATACCTTGATATTATTTTGTTGGTCTGTTTCCACATATAATCGCTCCTCGACCCAACCATGGCATTCCGCAGTCCTTTCGCCATCCCCCGACAATTGTTGGTTGGGACTACATCTCTTGGAGGTCGGTCGGCAATTAACAGTCGATTGAGATGCAATCAACGAGGTCTCGCGACGGTGGTACCGCCAGTCACACAAGATGCAACAGGCTCTAAGGGCCCAACGGCTATGGTTTTTATGAATATGGGTGGACCTTCTACAACGAACGAGGTCGAGGACTTTTTGAGCAGACTATTTGTACGTATCATGAATTACCACAATGGTCACGTTGAGTTGATAGGCTAATGCTTTGTATTACAGGCCGACGGTGATTTGATTCCCCTGGGACGGCTCCAATCGTATATCGGCCCCCTCATCGCACGCCGCAGAACCTCGAAAATCCAAAAGCAGTACGCGGATATCGGCGGCGGATCGCCTATTCGCAAATGGTCCGAGTACCAGTGCGCGGAAATGTGCAAGCTGTTGGATAAGATCTCCCCGGAGACCGCGCCGCATAAGCCTTATGTTGCTTTCCGCTACGCTGCCCCATTGACCGAGACCATGTATGAGCAGCTTTTCGCCGATGGATTTGGCAATGGCAACGGAGGACGTGCTGTCGCATTTACACAATACCCGCAGTACTCCTGTTCGACGACTGGCAGCTCCCTCAATGAGCTGTGGAAATGGCGTAACCGCCTCGAAGGAAAGCGCGCAAATGGAGGGTCCGAGCCGGCTGGCGCGATTCAATGGAGTGTCATTGACCGCTGGCCCTCTCACTCTGGTCTTGTGGAGGCTTTCGCACAAAACATCGAGGCTCAACTTAAAACGTACCCAGAGGAGAAGCGAGACGGGGTCGTGTTGCTGTTTTCGGCCCACAGCTTGCCTATGAGCGTTGTTAACCGAGGTAGGCTGATGTCCCCTGGTCACTTACTAGAATTACACTAATTATCCTCTCACACAGGCGACCCCTACCCCGCCGAAGTTGCAGCGACAGTTCACGCCGTAATGCAGCGCCTCAAGTTCAAAAACCCCTACCGCCTGTGCTGGCAATCTCAGGTGGGACCTAGTGCGTGGCTCGGGGCTCAGACCAGCGATACTGTTCAAGAATATGTGAAACGAGGACAGACAGACTTGATCCTGGTTCCCATTGCGTTTACAAGTGACCACATTGAGACACTCTACGAGCTGGACCAGGAAGTTATCCATGAAGCCAACAACCCGGGTGTCAAGCGCGCAGAGAGCTTGAATGGAAACCCAGTCTTCATTCAAGCACTTGCCGATATTGCTCGCGACCACTTGCAAAAAGGAGAATTGTGTTCGCGCCAGATGACACTGCGTTGCCAGGGCTGCACTAGCGAGCGGTGCTTGGGCCAGAAGAAATTCTTTGCAGGCCAGGAACATGCTTCCATGGTTGTATAAGCTTGTTTTGTTTTTCTTTCTCTTTTTGGCTCGGAGTAGGAGATTTCGGCCTTTAATGTTATGTGTATACGGCACCAGGAGGTGTTGGAGGCGTTGTGAAAGTATAAAATTTCGGGGTTAATGTACTGTATATAATATATCTTCAATTGTATACAAGATAACAGGGCATCTACAATATGTATAGAAGGATAAACCGTCAGGATGACACCTTAATGTACCCAAGCACCTAAGCCCGAGCGGAGATTCCGGAGCTAACAACTTGCCAATGATGAAATGCCGA